TATTAAAAGTAACATCACTTGCTTCTCTTTGCTTTTTAAAATGTGACTACTAGAAAATTAAAAATTGCATATGCGGCTCATAGTAACATTTCTATCTAATCCTGCTAGTTTCAGAAATGATTGTAGATAAACAAGAAGCCCCAGGACAGAACCATAAAGTGCTACAACATTTCCAATTCAGTGCAGAGGAGAAAGATTCAGCAAAGGAGGCTGAGAAGGAACAGCCAATGAGGAAAATTATAGGAATGTGGTGTTGGCGATAAAGGCACGTCACAAAACTATTCAAAAGGAGAGAGTGTCAGATGCGGCTGGGATGTCAGGTAAATGATGGTTGAACTCAACAACAGCAGTTTTGCTGGGGGGATTTGGAACTCATTCGATTCGGAAGCCTGACTTGAGTGAGCTCAGGAGAATAAGAAGTGAAGACATATATGTAGTAAGTATACATAACTCTTGAATTTTCTTTAAAGAGATGCATAGAAATGGTGGTAACAGGAAGAAGATTTCAACCAAGAGGAGGTCTGTGTATATTTTTGTGGTCATTGGTTCGTTTATTTAGAAGGCGAGACAGCTCAGCGGATGGTGGTGCTGTCCTCTGGGCCCTAGGATTCAGTTGGGGAAATGAGGCAAGTATACCACAAAGAATTTGAGACAGTCTAAACTCAAGAGTTAGTTAAATGGAATGAGAGTTAAATTGAATAATTCTATTAGTGCTCCAGGGATTCAGATGCGGCCAAGATGCCCTCTTTCTTTGTTCTCCCATTAGTCTTTCACATAGGGTGGGGCAAAAGTAAGCTTACAGTTGTGAGTACACGAAACTCACTTTACTCTTGTATTATTATTTATTCATTATTGTATTATTTTACTCTATGAACAACTGTAAACCTACTTTTGTCCCACCCCCTTCAGTTGTTGTTTCCCTTCTACTCACGACAGTGGTGGAGCAAGGAAAATGTTAGTCTGCTGTGACCTGGTATTTGGGAAAACAGTCTCCTTTTCCACATGATTCTCTAAAGCTCAGAGATAATTTATTTCCCCAGTGTCTAAAAAGCCTTCCTTAGTGGCAGGGGTTGGGGTGCTGCCATATTTATTAAGATGGTCCAGAAACTCACCCGTAATGGTCGAAGGAATTTTTATATTCTCCCTCTGAATTGTTGAGGGGCTTCTGAATTTCCCTACCCCTGCTCTTATTCCAGGTCTCTAGATGGGTTGTGTGTGTATGCATGTGTATGTGTGTGTGTATGCATGTGTATATGTGTGTATACTAGTGAGCGTTGTGTGGGCCTGGGGCTAAGTCATCTTCAGGGAGAATTGTGATATTAGCTGATAGAATTTGAGTGACTTGAACAAAGTGTTGATATCTTTCAGCCAAAGCCCACCAGGAACAGAAGTTCATCTTTACCTCAGAGCCTGTGGTCATCCCTCTTTACCTCCAGAGGTGCATCAGGGATTTACAGCTATAGATAGCAATACAGATGGACCTGAAGCCCATCCATTAGCCAGCCTGACTATGTCTGGGAGCAGATAAGATTGGGGTGGGGGTGGCGCTCCACAATCTACTTAGCCCCACTTGTTGGTACTTGCCTCTCTACAACCCTCCTGTTGTGTATTAATACAACACTCTTTCTCTGGGTTATGGTGCCCATCAAATCCCTGCCCCAAACTCATAAAAATGACAGCATTTATAAAGGTTTGAATATCAACTGACAGGCTTCCCTAGACCTGTCATTCCTAACTTTTGCCAGAAGGCTAGATTGAATGGAAAACTTACAATTGACTCTGAATTGATTATCTGCACTAATGGAAAAGAGCATAAGGAGAGATAATTCTCACATGACATAAAATCAGTCATGGGGGAAATATCCTTTTGATGGTCATTTTGGTTGTTGCCTAAAGCAATGCTGTGAAAAGTATTCTTGCATACATGTTTTTGTGTACAAGTGTGAGTATATCTATGGGGTAAAGTCTTAGCAGCAATGATACTGGTTCAAAAGGTATATGCATTTTTATAATATTTTGAGACTGCAGAATTGCTCTTCACAAAGCAATTCAAACTCCAACATGTATGAGAGTTTCTATTTTTCCCATCCATGTTAGTAATGGAACATCACCAAAACTAAAATTTTTTGAAATTTGAGAACCTGATGGGTGAAAATGTTAACTTGATATTTTGATTTACATTTTTTAATTATGAGTGGGACTGAGCCTTTCTTATTTGGTTATTAGCTATTTGTATTTCCTTTTTCTTTTTATACATTTTATTTATTTTTAGATAGAGGGGAAGGGAAGGAGAAAGAGAGGGAGAAAGACATGAATGTGAAACAGAAACATCAATCAGTTGCCTCTCGCACATACCCCCAGCTGGAGGCCTGGTGTGCAACCCAGGCATGTGCCCTGATTGGGAATCAGACTGGCGAACTTTTGGTTTGTGGGATGACACCCAACCCACTGGGCCACACCAGTCAGGGCTGTATTTCTTTTTCTATAAACTAACTGCTTGTCATATCCTTTGTTCCCTTTTATAACAACTTGTTTGTCTTTTATTGATTTATGTGTGCGCTTGGCAAATTAAGAAAATTGGCCCCTAGATCTGTATCAAGTATTGTTTCCTGGTTTGTTAATCTTCTGTTAACTGTTTACTTTTTTGTCAGCAAAAGTTTTAAATTTTTATGTAGTCAAATGCCTTAATCTTTTTTTTAGATTTTTTAAAAGAGATTTATTTATTTTTAGAGAGAGGGGAAGGGAGACAAAGAGAGGGAGAGAAACACTAATGTGTGAGAGAAAAATCAATTGGCTGCCTCTCACACGCCCCCAACTGGGGACCTGGTCCTGCAACCCAGGCATGTGCCCTGCCTAGGAATTGAACTGGCAACCTTTCAGTTTGCAGGCCAGTGCTCAGCCCACTGAGCCATGCCAGCCAGGGTCAAATGCTATAATCTTTAATGGCTTATCAATTCAATTTTGTCTCCCTGGGCACACTTCCAAAAGGAATGGGCCCCAACACAAAGTAATAGATGAGGATTTTTACATTTGGGGGGGCTGGGGTAACAGTTTTATTGAGATATAATTCACATACTATACAATTAATCCATTTAAAGTATAAAATTCAATGCCTTTTAATATATTCAAAGACTTATGTAACCATCACCACAATTAATTTTAGAACATTTTCACCACCTCAAAAAGAATCCCTGTGCTGTCACTCACTGCCCTCCCCCTCCAAAGAAACAAAAAGAAAACCTATCTCCCCAGCTAAAAGTAGGACACTTTCTTTAACTATGTATTTGTCTATTCCGGACATTTCATTTAAATAGAATCATTGCCTTTTTCAAAGGAAAGAACTTTGAAGACTCTAACTCAGTGATTTTCAAACTTTTTCATCTTACATAAACTATTTACTAAAATTCTGCAGCACACCAAAATCATAATATGATTTTCTTTAAAAATCATATTTTTTGCTGATCTGACAAAAACTAGGTATAATTTTGATTGATTTACAAAAAAAATTAATAATAGTAATTACCTACCCTTTTTGTTCCAAAGTGACTTTTAAAAAAAATCACAGATGCCTTTACTTGTACGTAAGGATTTCTGGAACCAAGAATTAGCCAATGAGATGCAAATTTATTATGCAACATAATCAATACAAAGCAACTCTATTATATGACCTGTATATATGGTTCACGACAAGGCATTATTGTGTTGCTATTATTGTGTTGGCTGTTGTCATTTTTTTATTTTACAGTCTTAGAGAAAAGAGGTCAGTGTCCCTGACTAGTCAGGTATTGCATGTTTTAAAAATTCTCGTGGTACACCAGTTGAAAATTGGAGCTCTAAATGAAGGATAATGGGTAGGGTAAAATGATTGTGCTGTGTTCTGGATATCAAAAGCTGATCTTTTGCTTTTTTACTCTATATTTTACTTTAGTGATCCTACTATAGCTGAATCACTAAGTGAATCTTCTGGCAGTGTGGAATTTCTGGAGGCCAGTGATGAGGGTAAGGAGCACAATAAAATCTTGATAACTAGAACTAGATTTGTTTACTGTGTTTAACCACCAATAATTAACCCATCAGGAAAGATAATCAAGTCACAAGCAAATAAATTCATATCAAATTTCTAACAACATTACGCTCAGTCCACATTTACTTTTTACTCTTCTAAACTCTTCACTTTCATTTCCAATCTCATAGTCAAAAGAGTTCTCTGAAGCCTTGCAATATTCTTTTGGGATGGTTATCAGGTCCTACTTACTAAGCAGGGGAAGCATTTCTGCTTAATCAGAAAAATCAGAGCAGCCATGATCAGAGAGATTCAACTGAGGTTTTACTGTAGCTAGTTATCCAAATTCAACCAACAGTAAAGAGGAAACAAATGAAAAATGCCACCATAGGCTTCTGTTAAATAAGATTCAATTTAAAAAAATTTTCTTGTTGCAAAACTTACTCAGATGTATATCTACTGCCTAAATTATGGTGCCAACTATATGAGTGATAGGTGTCCATGAGTGATAGACAGGGAGGCAAAAGTCATGAAACAATGATAAGCTTTATTGATATCAAAAAAGGGACAAAAAGAACCCAAGACATAAAATGAGATATTGAACTTAAAGCCAGAACCACATTTAACAGTTTACTGGTTGTTCTTCCATTTTTGCTGAGTTTTTTAGTAGTGATTGGCGAAGAAGATTTGGTATGGAAGGACAGAGAGAGGGGAACGTTTTTGTGGCTTCTTGGAGACCTGACTTCACTGATCATATGGGGCAGGGGATAGTGAGTCTGGTGCATGTATCTTTGAAGGGAAGGATTGGGTCTTCATCTCTGTGTCACCATTGTTTAGTATTAGGCCTCAGAGAGAGTGATTGGACACTCAAAAATAATTAATGAACTAATAAATAAATGAATGATAGGCCTCCTCACCTAGGCAACCCCAACCACTAAACCAACTGACCTATTTTTTTTAATATGAGCTAGAGAGATGGCTACAAAAGAAGATGCCAATGCGGCGCAGCTTGGTGAAGAGTGGAGGTAAGGAAATGCCTTTTCTCTGTTTCCAAGATTTTTTTAAAGACCAAACATTTGAGTAATTTTTAGTAGTATTCATTGTTAGCCAGAGGATAAAATAGTGGTTGGGAGGTTGAAGGGAAGAAAGGCTAATTAGAGATGTTTTCTTTCCAAGCAGCAGTGCAAGAGAACAAGGTCATCATTAGGTGATGCATTTCTAAAGCTCCCTAAGTTGAACTTATATGGGCTGCCTGTGTGCATGGTGGATAAGCAAATGTACAACCCAGCAGCAATGATTTCCGTCGTTGGATTTAATGGTGTTTTCTTCTTGGGGCCGGGGGGGGGGGACTTGCCTGCCATGGGTCATTTTCTGGCATATGACACACTGCAAGCCCTCATTGGATGGGGATGTTGAAAGCTACTGCCTGTTTGGGAATACATAGTCCTTGGGTTTGGACAGGGAGATGAATGGCTTTGTTATAGGAGAAGTCCAGACAGCTGTCAGCTCTCATCTGCCAGCTCCCTAACCACCACTGCTGTACCTTATGGGACATAAAGTTATCCAGTGTATAGGTGACCTACATAAACATTGCTGGATACAAATACGGGTTTTGACCTAAATCTGCAGTATACGTCTATCTACCCTTTACACTTTTAGCAGCTCTTGAAACCAGCCCACATAGGACTCAGCTGCTGGCAATTTAAAGGCACCCCTTTACAAAGAAAACTTGAAGGACCAATTTATACACTTGAATACATGGCAACTCTTTTGGATTCCATTAGGGTTTCAAAAGTAACATATGCACACAGTTCCCAAATTTGTAGCTCACTTCCAGGGCTCATCTCCATACATGGTGTCTAATGTGGTTAGGGATGAGGAGGTCTCCTAATCCAGAGTAGGCTGAAGACTTGGAATCTTGCAGCTGACATTGGCTGTCTGGCAATGGGTTGCTCAGTTAGGCTGTCTCCAGCTTCTCAGCCACTGCTCTAGACCAAAGAGCAGCTAATCCACCATGTGTGATGGTTACTATCCCTTGGTGCCCCCCTCAATTCCCCACCAACAAAGCTATACCACCACCATACCCAGAGCTACCCCACAGGGAGGAATGCAAGCATTCTTTCCCTCTAGTGCCCATGATTGAAAGAGACACACATTGCTTAAGGCACTTTGAGTCTTTATGGGAAAATAAGTTGTTTTTGCCTGGTAAAAATGGAAAATTGGGGGAAATTGGAATATATGCATATTTAATTTTTAGTACTTCTTTTAAAGTTCTAGAGTCACAGTCATTTTGTTAATTTAGGAACATAAAAATGTGTTAATGTATACTTTTGTTTGCTCATGCAATGGTAATGGCGGGTGCATTCAGTTTTGCAGCCAAAAAGCTTATTAGAAGTGCTTTGATTCAGTTATGAAGTGTTTATAGATTGTGCAACAAATATTTCTGCTCGTTAATGAAAAGTATGCTTGCAACTCCCAGTCCTCCAGCTCTGCCCTCCTCTATTCCATTCTGGCATTTTAACGAAAGAGCGGCAACAATCACTATGTTTCCAAACACTCTAAGATAAAGTTGCTCCCCTTTCCAAAGGCCAGAAAGAGATCCACCTGTCAAGAACTAATCGATTAGACCCAGCTGGTGTGACTGAATGGCTTGAGTGCTGGCCTGCGAACCAAAGTGTCTCCGGTTCAATTCCCAGTCAGGGCACATGCCTGGGTTGCAGGCCAGGCCCACAGTGGAGAGGGGCATGCAAGAGGCAAACACATTGATGTTTCTCTCCCTCTCTTTCTCCCTCCCTTCCCCTCTGTCTAAAAATAAACAAAATCTTTTAAAAAGAATCATATTAATTCTGTTTCGAAAATGGCAATGCTGGCAAAGGCTAAAATACAGCATGCTCCTTCCTGTTTGTAAAGGGACATTTCCCAGTTTGTCCTCACTGGGCAGGAATTACTGGTATGTTGGAGCTGGCTCACACTGGCTTGAGTGACTGTGCATATCTCTTTCCAAAATGTTGATAGCTTGAAATTGACTGAGGTGGGAGTATTTACACCACAAAAATAGGCAAATACTACAAAAAAGAGCATTTTCCCCAGAGATCCATTTGGTAACAATTTTCAGTAAAAACCTAATTACAGTAATTAGTATAGTATAGTAATGAGGATTTTACATAAAATCTCACTATTTCATAGATTTTAGAAATCATTTTGGGGTGGGGAGGTTAAGAGAGAAGGCCAGAGCTCTGGCTTGTGTAGTTCAGTGGATTGAGTGCCAGCCTGCGAACTAAAGGGTTGCTGATTCAATTCCCAGTTGGGGCATATGCCTGGGTTGTGGGCCAGGTCCCCAGTAGGGGGCACTCAAGAGGCAACCACACATTGATGTTTCCCTCTCCCTCCTTTTCCCTCTCTAAAACTAAATAAAGTTTTAAAATATTTTTAAAAAGAGAGTAGGCCAGAGAACAAAATATATTATTTTAGAGCCAGTACTTTCACACTGAATTCTCATAGTAGTTCTATGAGGTCAAACATTTTAAATATTTAATTTTATTTTCATAGAAATTAGTTTAATTTTTCTTGTAGAAAATTAAAGAAGGGAACTTGGAAAAGTATATGTTTTCTGTTGTATCTTCATGTTTTATTCTTCATATCTCTGGGTAGAATTACCAAGTTTGTCCTGACCATGACCCTAGATAGAGACCTCCTAGTAGACGAGAATTGCCCAAGTCATACAAAACTGAAATTGCTTGAGAAGCAATTAGCAATCAAACAGTTCTACAGTCTTTTGTTGTTTTTTTTTTAATGCTCACCCAAGGACATTTTTTTCCCATTGCTTCTAGAGAGAGAGGAAGGGGGAGAGAAAGAGAAACATTGATGTGAGACAGAAACATTGATCAGTTGCCTTGTACTATGTGCCCCGACTGGGAGTCAAACCCGCAACCTATGTACGTGCCCTGACTAGGAATTGAACCCATGACATTTTGGTCTATGGGATGATGCTCCAAACAATTGAGCCACACCAGCCAGGGCTACAGTCTTTTTTTCATTCCCCTTCCCCATGTTAGCTTCTTTTTCTCTAATCATGTATATTTTAGAGCTCACTATTGAGTTATAGATGTGGGGCTGCTTCCCTTTATCTATAGATTAGATAGATAGAATTGAACCTGGTCTTAATAAACAAGTAATTATTGATTACCTGATACTAGCTCAAACTTATTAGCACTTGCTACACACCAGATACTATGATAAGCTCTTTACCTACATTATTTACAATTTACATCAACCCCAATAAGAGCCAGTGTTTAAATTATGGGATGCTTCAGAGTGACTCTGCTCAGTGATCTCAATGTAAGAGAAGAGACAAACTATGTTGGTATTCTGTACCCCTCGGTGGACTCAGTTGTATTGTGAGCACTACAGCTTGTCTGGCACTATGCCAGTTGCTAAACAGATGCTAATAAGGGCCTGCCTACAGCTTTGATGGGGGAATAGTAGCTAAGATATAGAATTTTATCCTATTCCTTTTTCATGATACCCAAAATGTAGTAAGTGCTTGATCTTAATAAATATTTGTTGAATAGATGAATGGATGAATCAATGTGCAGACTAAAGAGTGTTCAGATGCAAATCTTGTGGTGCCAACACTCAAATTTTAGATATGCAGGGAGAAGTATGAATTGTAATGATTGGTGGGCAACAGGACTTAAGACAGGCCTTGAAATTTAGAAACCAGGCCCAGTAATCCCTGGTATGTCATAGGTCATACCATCGCAGAACTAGAAAGAGCCCTAGTCTAGCATTTCCCTAGTGTGTTTTGCCAGACATTCTGCTAACACATATTTGGGAGACAATAGTGTTGTCCAGTTTCTTGGAGCTTCACCATACGCAAAGGCATGTCGAAATTTCAGGAAAGTCTTGCTGGAAATCAGACCCCTACCTAACATTTGTCTAATCCAGTGTCAGCCCAGTTGACTGGACTGCAGACCCATTTTTCATGCCACAGATCCATGAGTATCCCTCTGAACATACTTTGGGAGATGCTGATTAGTGTGATCCCCTCATTTTCCTGCTGAGTACCAGAGAGGCTGAGTGATTTACCCAAGGTCACAGAGCTAATTGACAGCGGATCCAAGCCAAAAATTCCAGAGTTTTCTGACTTTGGGGAGGTGCTTGCCATTATGTCATCAAGCCTTTGTAATGACAGCCTCACTGGCAACTACCTGGCTGAGTCCTTTACTGCCAGCAACATTGCTGTGCTGGCAAGAGGCCTTCCAGAGACCAGACTGTTGTCAATTGCAATGAGACACCTCAGTTAGTAAATCATTGCACGTGAAAGCGATAAGAGCTAATTCCTTCCCTCTGAAGAGTGTATCATGACTTTTCTTCCCCTTTTTTCTCTTCTATGGAGCCCCGGTGAAGACATATGTGCTTACCAGGAAACTAAAGAAACCCCAATCAGAGCCTTAGGGGCATTTAAAGTTCACATTCCTCACTGATGTCCTGTTAATTATTATATTATACATAAAGCAACCTTTCAATTATCTGCATGTGCAGAGGGCAGCAGCCCTATAGATAATCCAAACCAATCAGCAGTAATTGAAGAACACACATAATGCACGTAATACACATGCATACACACTCATGCACGCCCCTTGTAAAACCCTGTGATGTCCAATTTTGGCATGCCTTTTGTACAAACAACTTTTCTTCTTTCTGATTCCCAGCCTTCTCCCTTTTTCTTTAATTCCTTCCTCAAGAAACTCTTCCCTGAATGCACCAACTGGCCACATTCACTCTTTGGGTCTGTATTCTTTCAGCACACAGGCTGGGCAATATCAACTCCTACATAGATTTCCAAGGGTCCTGAAGCCCTGGGCAGTACCAACCACCACTTGGATTCCACACGCAAAAGGTTAACTTCCCAACTGGACTGTGATGACCCCAGCCACTGGGGTGGAGTTGGGGGTTAACAAATGCTTATGTTGGCTCAATAACTGCTGCATATGAATGAACTTCTTAGGGCCAGGCAACAGATGTATATTAATAGTTGACATTGAAAGAAAAGTGAATGTCTGATGAGTTGGGCCTGAATAGAGGTTGCCTAAATACCACACACAAGCAGGGGACTGAGTTCCTGCTCTCACCAGCAACTCGGATTCTTTGTTACTGAGTATTAAGAGGAGAACAAACCAAATGAATTGTGCCGTGATCTGTGGGAACAAGGGCCAAGATCTACAGGGCACCTGGGATCAGAGTCATCCTTTGTGTCATGAAGACCCTGTTTTCTCTTCTGTCTTCCCTTCCACCATCACACTGTCTCACTTTCATTTACAACTTCCAGGAAAGAAGAAATCCAAATTTAAAGCCTTCAAGGATTTTTTTGGCAAAAAGAAGAAAAAGGAGGCTGCAGATTACCACAGAAGGAGGAGGCTGAGACCAAACTTGTCCAGAAGCAGTTTTAACAACTCTTCTCTGAATCTAGTTCAGGGAGGTCAACAATCTAAGTCTAGGTAAGCTTGGGGGTGGTGTGAGAGGGTTGAAGGGGAAAAGGGACAAGGTAAGGGGACAGATAGCTAGATCTGGATGCCCCCTTTGGCAACCAAACACCGATGGGCCTTTGGTCTCAGGGACTCTTGGCCTTCATGCCTATGGGGCTGGGTCAGTGGCCACTGACAATACAGCCATTTCCCTGTGGCCTTTCTCTGTGCTCATGTGTAGATTTGTCATCTGGGCCACACAGCTCAGTGGGTTGGAACATGGTAAATGCACAGCCAATCCCCAAGAGCTCTTGGTGGAGAGCGCAGTAGATCAGGGAAATCCTTCCCTGTCATAGCTATAAGAACTTGAAATGGGATCTACAACTAGAGAGGAGCTAGAGGCCTTTGCTTTATAAGGTAAGGCTAGCCTATTTCATTCAGGAAGTTTGGTCTGGTTTGCTTGCCTGGCCCTTAGGCTGCAGCTGTGATTACTGGGCAAGGGGAGCTAGATCTCAGAATGTGTGATTAAAGTCTCAGTGAAGCCATCTAGCTGGGTTGGGGCATAAGTGTGAAGTCACTGTATTAATGTAAAAATGAACACATAAATAAGCAAGCAGAGAACCCAAATCCATTTTCCCCTCCATCCCAGGAGACTAGGGGAGATTCTGCAACTGGTCACAGAGGGACAGGGAAATAATACTGTTTCTGCCACTGCCACCCCTATTCCAAATTTCATCTGTGATGCCCCAATTTCCATATCCTATTGTAGAAAATCTAGACACCTAGTACCCCCAGCTGTTCCTGGCTCAATTGGATGCCTCTCTGTGGAGTTCCACTTGGGCCTGTTCTCCTGACCCTAAACTCTAGACTTACCTGGACTTTCCACAGAGCTCACCTGTGCTTCTCCCCTTTCCCTCAAGGCTTTGCTTGGCAGTGATGGGACAGTTAGCAAACATGTTAAATTGCCCCCTAACAGTTAGCACATAGGTCTCCTTAAGGAGGACCTCAATGAGTGTATTGAATATGAGGAATTTCAGATAGCTTTGCTAGTGGGAGGGATGGTTTTGGACAGAGGGGCTTGTCTCATACCTCACAAATCATACCATTATAGACCATTGCCTTATAGCTTTAAGTAAGGGTAAGACTAGCCCTGCTAAAAACCATGGGGTGGGGTAAGGAGGGAAGGGGCATTTGGATTTACTCTCTGTTGGCTCTACAAATTGGTAAGGGTTGTCTCTACTAAACTTTTACATTTCCCCTTCTTCTTACTTACCTGTCCCCTTCCAAAATGGTCCATTTAGTCGGATGCATTCTCTGCACTAAGGTGTGTGCATGTGCACCTCCCTGAAGTGGGTGGTGAAAGGAAGGAGAAGGAGTGAGAATGAAAGGCAGAGAAGTGTGTACAAGTACATGCACAAGCTCATATATGAGGAAGGGTGCTTTTCTAAGGACCTGAAATAAGTCTTTGTTTTGGAAGGAACATAAATTAAGTAATAGTATAACTTAAGAGGCCTGAAGATCACCCCTGACCCCAGTCTCTTGCTTAATGTGCTAGGGGACAAACCCTGGAGATCTCATTGAGGAGTTAGAAAGAGAGATCAGGTTTGTTTTCTTTTTTTTTTTTTATTCATTAAAGCAATCAATCACACAAAAAAAGAAATCCTTAAGAGTCAGCCCTCCCCTGGCCTGTACAGTAAGAGTGATATCTGTTTCCAAGACTATATTAAGCTGTATCTGGTTGATGGGTGAATTCAATTCCTCCATTTGATTTTTTAATGGCTGCTGACATAATGTGCTTTATTGCCTTTAAGACCAAGATTTTGTCTCAAGTTTTGGATATATTTCTTTTTGTTGACACTAGGGGGCAGCTCAATAAGGACTAGATGTGTTCTGTGACAGTTTTCGTTTCTGACAAACAGCTCGTGCTAATGTAATTCTTTCATCAGGAAGAGCCAATTCAACAGCTGTACTCTGGTGGATGCATAGTCTGGAAATGACAAGAGTTTCTAAGTCTACTCATGGCTTAAGATTTCCTTGCAGTTTATCTACACAAAACAGAGAGGCAAGGTAGTCACACAGATGCCGCACTGGTCCCAGCCTGATGTGAGCCAGCAAGTCATAGAGAAACAATGAATGAAAGTGTGTATGTGAGCAAATATATGTATATAGAAATGTCTGCCAATGTGGCTCTCTCAATGCTGAATCGGTCCTATAGGCTTATTAAGTGTTTATCCAGAGTCACACTAATTTTCTGCTTGACTGCTATTTTACTAAAGCAGAGCATGTTGCCTTCAGCACCAGGGCCACTGAGTAGCAGTTTTTCAGGGAAAAGGTGGGTAGGAGTTTAGTACAAAGTGTCAGACATCTGCCTCTTCGCCTTTCTTGCTGGCCCCCAAGCCATCTTAGCATGGTGTCATTTTAATCCTCATAACACCAGCTTGTCCTCACGGTGTGTCATGATCAAACGTACCCATGTGCATGTCCAGTAGCCAGACAGGCTCATAATAACAGGGTGGGTGCTAGCCCTACAGTGTTTGAGCTGCTATTTTAGTTATCAAGGTTTTTAAAGTGCTAACTTAAGTGTATTGTTTTGTAATAAAGGTAATAAGTGCAAAAAATATTTGAAAATTTAAAATTTTTTTTATCTATTTTTACAACATTTCAGTCCCTCCCTAAAAAAAACTCTGTACTCATTGGCAGTCAATCCCCATTCCACCCTACCCCCAGTCTAGCCCTAGGTTACCACTTATCTAATTTCTGCCTCTATAAATTTGCTTATTCTGGATTTCATATAAATGAAATCATACTACATATGGCCTTTTGTGACTGGCTGTTTCTCTTAGCTTAGCATGTTTTCAAGAATCATCCACATTGTTGTATGTATTCCTTTATACTACTGAATATAAGTATTCCATTGCATCAACATACACCACATTTTATCTGTTTATCAGTCAACAGATATTGGGTTGTTTCCACCTATTGGCTATTTTGAAGAATGCTCCTATGGATATTTGTGTAGAAGTTTTTTTGGGGATATATATTTTTATTTTTCTTGGGTATATACCTAGGAATGTAATTGCTGAGTCATATGGTAATTTAATGTTTAGTTTTTTGATGCAACACCAGACCGTTTTCCAAAGTGACTGTAACATTTTACATTCCCACCAGCAGTGTATGGAAGTTTCAATTTCTCCACAACCTTGCCCACCCTTGTTATCATCTGAGTTCTTGTTTCTAGCCAAGTGTGAAGTGATATGTCATTACAGTTTGGATTTGTATTTCCCTGCTAATGATGTTGAGAATCTTTTCCTGTGCTTCTTGGCCATTCGTATATCTTCTTTGGAGAAATGTTTATTGAGATCCTTTGCCCATTTTTAAATTGGATTATTTAGTATTTTATTAATGAATTATAAGAGTTTCTTATGTATTCTAGATATAAGTCCCTTATCAAATGTACAGTTTGCAAGTATTTTCTCCAATTATGTAGGTTGTCTTTTCATTTCTTGCTAACATCCTTTGAAGCACAAGCTTAAGCGTTTAGTGTCATAATCTAAGACTCTGTTGCCAAATCTAGGTCATGAATATATATTACCCCGATGTTCTTTTTTGTTAGTTTGTTTTTTAAATTTTTTATTAAATTACTGGAGTGACATTGGTTAATAGGATCATCATATAGGTTTCAAGTGTACATTTCTATGATACAAGACTGTATATTGCACTACGTGCTCACCACCCAAAGTCAAACCATCTTCCATTATCATATATTAAGTCCCCTTCACCCCTCATTCCCCCACCCCCTTATATTAACTTCTAAGAATTTAAGCTCTCATATTTAGGTCATTAACCAATTTTGGGTTCCTTTTTATATATAGTGTGACATGAGGGTCCAACTTTATTCTTTTGCATGTGGCTATCCAACTGTCCCAGCACCATTTGTTGAAAATGACTATTCTTTCCCCCATTGAATGGTCTTGTCACCCTTGTTACAAATCAATTAATCAGAGATGGATGGATTTATTTCTGGATCCTCAGTTCTATTCATTGATTTATATGTTTATTCTTAGGCCAGTGCTACACTGTTTTGATTACCGTAGCCTTTTAAAAAAATTATTTTTATTTTTAGAGAGACAGTAAGGGAGGGAGAAAGAGAAGGAGAGAAACATCAATGTGCAAAAGAAACATTGACCAGTTGCCTCTTTAACATCCCCAACTGGGGACCTATCCTGAAACCTAGGCACATGCCCTAACCAGAAATTGAACTTGGGGACATCCCAGTGCTCAGTCCACTGAGCCACACCAGCCAGGCCTGATTGCTGTAGCTTTGTAGTCAGTTTTGAAATTGGTAAATGTGAGTGCTTCAACTTTTTTCATCTTTCTTCAAGATTGTTTTGGCTATTTGTGTTCCCTTGCATTTCACTATGAATTTTAAGATCAGCTTTCTTATTCGGCAAAGAAAAAGTTTAAAGGCAGCTGGAATTTCACTATGGATTACATTCACTATGATTACACTATGTAAATCAATTTGTGAAGTATTGCCATCTTGACAAGATTATTCTTCTAAGCCACGAACATAGGTTTTAGAGTATAAGTTTTACATGCCTTTTAAAAATTTTTATTCCTAAGTATTTTATTCTTTTTTGACACTATTGTAAATAGAAGTGTTTTCTTTTATTTTTCAAACTAACATTTTGGATTGTTCATTTAAGGTATACAGAAATGCAATCAATTTTTGTGTATTGATCTTGTATTTTGCAACCTTGTGGAACTCATTTATTAGTTCTAGTAATTTTTAATGGATTTCTTAGGAGTTTTATACACAAGATTAAGTTACCTATGATTAGAGATAATTTCACTTCTTTCTGTTTAATATGGATGCTTTTAATTTCATTTTCTTATCTAACTTCTCTGGTTAGTATCCCCAGTACAATGTTGAATAGAAGACATCCGTGTCTTGTTCCTGATCTTAGGGAGGAAGCATCCATTCTTTCATCATTAAGTATGATATTAGCTGTGAGTTTCTCACAGATGTCTTCTGTCAAGTCTGCGTGTCTTTAACATAAAAGGGTATTGGATTTTACAAATGCTTTTTCTGTGTCTATTGAAGTGACTGTGTGGTTTTTGTTTTTATTTTATTGATATGATGTATTACATTAATTGATTTCCATATATTAAAGCAACCTTGCATTCCTGCAAATCTTACCTGGTCATATATATAATTATCTTTATATGCTGCCAGATTCAGATTGCTAGAATTTTATTGAGGATTTTGCATCTTCATTTATAAGATTTATTTGTACAAAGTTTTTTTTTTCCTGTGATGTCTTTGGTTGAATATTTAAAAGGTAAAATGTATTCCCAAACCCCAAAGGGAATTTTTTTTGTGCCTTTAGCTTTTCATTTTTTCCTAACTTTCCTCTGATTTGTCTTAACACATAATTGTCATCAACCAGGCCCCATTCCCAATCAGAAGGTATTTTCACCAGGTTTAGCAAACTGTGGATGTGCTTTAGGGAGTGGTGGGTTCATAAGATGATTTTAAAAATAGGATAGATGTATTATAGAAACTTTGTGTGAAAGAGAAAAAAAACCTGATGAATGAAAGTCTCCAGCACCTGGGCAGATACTTGATATTTTATAACAAATCAAAACAAAAACACTAGAGAGAAATTTGGGCATAAAACGTCTTTTATGACTCTCACCTTAATAATAGCAAGATTCAGTGTCTTTCCTCCCATTTTGTGGCATTGTCACTACTGAATTGTATACTTTAAATGACAGAATTGTATGTAAACCATATCTCAATGAAAATATTATATAAAAGATGTGTTAATAATTTAAAAATCAAAATTATATGAAAATACATAGAGTAAAAAATTAAAATCCCCTTCCTCTAGTTCCATTCCTCAAAAGGAACCATCACTAAGAATTTGGTGACTACCCTTCTGGACATTTTTCTATAAACATAAATGATATATGTATGGAATATATATGTAGATTAAATGGCACCATACTATTCTTTATTTTTTCATTTAATATCACATAAACAACTTTCTGTCAGTGCATATGCATCTCCACCCTCCTCTGTGATGTCTTTGGTAGGCTGTATTATAGATACACTTGTGTCTTTGGTTTCTATGGCTGCTTTTACAAGACCTTTTCCTTTCTTTCCAGGGTTAAGGGAAGCATGGAGACCAAATCCCTGTCCCAGGACAGTACCTTCATGTTGGATCCTGAGCCTGGAATACCAGCAAGTAAAACATACCCTTCTCCAGAGCTCCAGAGAGGCAGATCTCTGGAGGTAATAGCAAACTTGAACATAAATGCCTAATTGGACTATTCCTCTTCCATTTCCTATTCCTAACCCAGCAAAAAACAAGGAGGGGGAATTTGACCGTACTTCTCAGCTAATTCTACCCCCACAGGGCTGTTGTAAACATTGAATGAGAGAATGGACAAATATATTATGTGCTTACCTAGTGTCTGGCACATAGTGTTGGCTGGTATTACCATATTCACTTCTTTTGAAACAGCCAAGAATGCTTACGTATTATGACAGTGACAGTCCACTGTTACTGTGCAAGCATTCCAACCCCCATGTTTTTTCTTTCTTCCACAGAGATCTCAAGTTTCCAGAAACCTGTCTAGCATTGGCAGTATGCATAGAGCTGTTTCTGGAGCTCTGCTTGAAGTTGTGCCCCATTACGTGTCCAGAAGTGGAATCTGGGTTTCAGGCTCCAGGATCACTGAGGTAATAGAGTGTAATTGTTCAAAATATGGGAGCTGAGCCGTATGGACAGACATATGCTTAAAATCTTGCTCTGCTACTTACTGGCTCTGTAACCTTTGATTGATTGCTTAACCTCCCTGAGCCTTCCTTTCCTCATCTACCTCAAAGAGTTTCTTGTGACGATTGAATAAAGACTCATAGAGGTTAAAGAAATTGCTCAAGCTCGCCCAGATAGTAAGTGATAGACCTGGAAAACTGACACAGCTGTGTTGACTTTAAAACCCATGGTCTTTTTTTTTTTAAGATTTTATATATTTATTTTTAGAGAGAGGAGAATGGAGGGAGAAAGAAAGGGAGAGAAACATCGATGTGCAAAAGAAACATTGACTGGTTGTCTCTCATATGTGCCCAGACTGATACAAAACCCGCAATCCAGGCATGCGCCCTGACCGGGAATCGAACTGGCAACCTTTCATTTTGTGGGACGATACCCAACCAACTGAGCCACATTGGTCAGGGCAGCTGGTTTCTCAACAGAAACACTTCAGGCCAGAAGGGATTAGCATTAAATAATCAAAGTAATGAGAACAGAGGACCTATAACCAAGGCTACTTTGTCCAGCAAAGCTTCCTATTGTTTAAAATTGAAGGTGAAATAAAGAGGCTCCCAGGCCAGGAAAAAAAGAACAAAAAACTAAGGCAGTTTATTACCACCAAACCTATATTGCAAGAAATGTTAAGGTGTCTGTTTGAAGAAGGAGGAGGAGGAAGAGGAGGAGGAGAAGGAGGAGGAAGAAGAGGAGGAGGAGGAAGAGGAGAAGGAGAAGAAGGGAAGAAGGAGAAGAAGGAGAAGGAGGAGAAGAAGGAGGAGGAGGGAGGGAGAGAGAGAGGAACATAGGTATAAAGAATAAAATGGCAATAAATAAGTACCTTTTAATAATAATCTTAAATGTAAACAGATTAAATGCTCCAATCAAAAGACATATAACTGGCTGGGTGAGAAAACATGACCCATATATAAGCTGTCTATAAGAAACCCACTTCAGAACTAAAGATACACACAAACTGTAAGTGAAGGGATGGGAAAAAATACTCCATGAAAATGGGAACCAAAAAAAAGCTGAGGTAGAGATACTTATATCTGACAAAACAGGCTTCAAAATAAAGTCCATATCATGAGACAAAGAAGGTCACTATATAATACTTAAGGGATCGATAGAACTATAGGATATAATCCTTGTGAACATATATGTACCCAAAATAGGAGCACCTAAATATATAAAGAATATCTTGGTGGACACTTAAGGAGAGATCAACAGCAATACAGTCATAGTAGGGGATTTTAACAACCCACTGACACCAACGGATATATCTTTCAGACAGGAAATCAACAAGGAGGCAGCTACCTTAAATGATACATTAGATCTGTTGGATTTAATTGATATTTACAGAACACTTTATCCCAAAGCCTCAGAATATACATTCCTCTCAAGTGCTCATGGAACATTCTCAAAAATAGGCCATATGTTAGGTCACAAAATAAGTCAATAAATTCAGAAGATTGAACCCATATCAAGGACCTTCTCTGAAAAATGATATGAAACTAGAAATCAATTATAAGAGAAAAACTGAAAACCACTCAAACATATGGAAGCTAAATAACATGTTATTTAATAATGAGGTCAAGGAAGAAATCAAAAGTCACCTGGAATGAAAACATAATAAAGCAAAATCTAAGGGACACAGTGAAAGCAGTCCTGAGAGGAATGTTTATGGCATTACCGGCCTACCTCAAGAAGCAAGAAAAATCTCAAGTAAACAATCTAACCTTACATCTAAAAGAACTAGAAAAAGAACAACAAACAAAGCCCAGAGTAAGTAGAAGGAAGGAAATAATAAACATTAGAGAAGAAATAAGTGGCACAGAAACAAACAAACAAAAAAACCAAAACAAAACAAAACAAAAAAAAAACAATACAAAAGATCAATGAGACCCAATAGCTGGTTGTTTGAAAAGACTGATAAATCTTTAACCAGACTTATCAAGAACAAAAGAGGACCCAAATAAACAAAATCAGAAATTAAAGAGGAGAAGTAACTAACATCACAGAAATACAAAGGATTGTAAGAAAATACAAAGAGCAACTATATGCAAGAAATTGGACCACCTGAGCAAAATGGGTAAGTCCCTAGAAACATACAATCTTCTAAAACTGAATCAGGAAAACTCAGAAAATTTGAATACACCAATTACAACAAATGAAATTGAAATAGTAATAAAAAAACTTGCAGCAAACAAAAGTCCTGGACTAAATGTCTTCACAGGTGAATTTTGCCTGAACAACATATTAGCAAACTAGATCCAGCAATACATTAAAAAGATCAGATACCATGATCAAGTGGGATTTATTTTCGGGATGCAAAGTTGGTATATCTGAAAATCAATAAATGTGATATATCACATAAACAAAATGGATAAAAATAACATGATTTTATCAGTAGATGCAGAAAAAGCATCTGATAAAATTCAGCACACATTTATGATAAATTCTTAGTAAAGTGGGAATAGAGAGATCATACCTCAACATAATAAAAGCCATATATGACAAGCCAACATTATACTCAGTGGGCAAAAACCTAAAAGCATTTCTCTTAACAGGAAAAAAGATAAGGATGTCTGTTTTTATCACTGTTATTCAACATAGTACTGGAAGTCCTAGCCACAGCAGTCAGAAAAGAAGTGATACAAGGCATCCAAATTGGAAAGAAAGAAGTCAAACTATCAGTATTCATAGATGACATGAATAATATTGTGTATAGAAAACCCTAAAGGCTCCACCAAAAACTACTAGACCTAATAAATAATTCAGCAAAGTAGCATCATACAAAATTAAGTTTCAGAAGTCAGTGACATTTGTATATACCAATAATGAACTATCAAAAAGAGAAGTTAAGAAAACAATCCCTACCCTGGCTGGTTTGGCTCAGTGGGTTGAGTGCTGGCCTGGGAACCAAAAGATCGCAGTTTCGATTCCCAGTCAGAGCACATGCCTGGGTTGTGGGCCAGGTCCCCAGTTGGAGGTGTGTGAGAGGCAATTGATTGATGTTTCTTTCCCTTTCTTTCTCCCTCCCTTTCCCTCTGTCTAAAAATAAGTAAATATAATCTAAAAAGAAAACAATCCCACTTACTATTGCTGCAACAACAACAAAGCCAATAAGGTACCTAGGCATAACTTCAAACAAAGAAGTAAAAGACCTGTATTTGGAGAATTATAAGATGCTGAAGAAAGAAATTGAGGAAGATACAAATAAGTGAAAGCATATATCATGTTCATAGATAGGAAAAATTAACATCATTAAAACATTCATGTTACCCAAATCAATTTATAGATTCAATGCATTTCTTATTAAAATACCAATGGCATATCTCACGGATTTAGAACAAATATTCCAAAAATTTATATGGAACCACAAAAGATCCTGAATAACCACATCTCACAAGCAACAAGAGAATGCCCATAATTTGGAGGAAAGCATACGCGTTTTAACTTTCTCCTTTTAAACTCCTCCTTAACAGATCCCACCACTGCGCCCACACCAACCCAGCATCCGTCCACCTCTTATAGGATCTGACACAATCTCTAAGGACTCTGAAAAAGTCTCTGTTGATGCTCAGCCACCTAAGGCCCCACGAAAGGCTTTATCACAGAAGATCTTGTCATTGAAGGTGAGTGTCAGCCTCATCTTAAGTGGCAAATTGCTGGGCCGGGGGTGGCGGCATCAAATGGAGCACAAGTCAGAGGCATAGTTTCTTCTTGAGTTTTCTTTTTTCCTATTGTAGCTCAGTACTAGGGAGATATTTGGGGAAGGAGATGCCATTCTTGGCTTTTGATTGCATGTTGGTTTACGTTTTCTGTCGAATTCTAAAAGCCAAATAATCAGTCTTCAACTTGTAAGCAATGGGAGGCATTATCTGGACAAAAAGTACTTTCCAGAAGTTTTCAGTTATTTCAGGAAAAAACAATGGAGATTTTTATGGAAGTAAAGCCTCTATAGTTTTAAATGCCAAAATCTCAAAGGTTAGGGCATGAAGTATTGTTTGAGAGATACGTATCCATTTGACACATGAGAGGGCATGTATGTTTATTCATACATTTAGTTTTGTCAATCAAAAATATGCATCAACAATTGGAATACAAATAGATTTTGCCTATATCAACATTTTGAGTATCAAACTAACATGCGGTTAATTTAATTGGTTGTTTGTGAACTTGGGAGGGCTTTTAGAGTGAAGTAGAATTTTTAGCAATTAACATTAGGAACCAAAAAGTAAACAGAAATGTAATTTATACTGAAGATAATTGGCCAGTCAGGAAAAAAAAACCCTCTGTTTAAAATGTTAAAAAATTCTATGGAGGGGAAGCAGCCTTCAGTTAGATATGTCAACAACCCCCACCAAAAGAAAAAAAAACAATTAGATTAGGACCAAAGGTAAAGCACAGGCTCGAGGTACGGGGATGGATGCTCACTGATTTGTGGATTTAGGCTATCATCATAAGTATTTTCTGCAGAATACCACAAAGCAGAGGAACTGGGACAGAGTGTGAATTGATGGAAGGACTGAACTAGGTAATATTTTTATTGTGGTAAAAAATTCAAATAACATGTACTTTTGCATATTAAAGTATATGATTCAGTACATTCACAATATTGTGCAACCATCATCACTGTCTAGTTCCAAAATAGTTTTCCCCCCCAAATGGAAGCCACATACCCATTAAGCAGTCACTCATCATTCCTTCCTCCTCTCTGGATTTGTCTATTCTGCATACTTCATATAAACGTCATCACACAGTTTATGACCTTTTGTGCCTGGCTCATTTCACTTAACATAATGTTTCCTTTAATCCTCACCCGAGGATAGATATATTTATTGATTTTTAGAGAGAGAGGAAGGGCAAGAGAGAGAGATGGAGTGAGGGAGAGAGAGGAGACTCATTGATATGACAGAAACATTGATTGGTTGCCTTCTCTATGCACCCCAACTAGAGACCTGGGAATTGGACCCACAACCTAAGGGTGTACTCTGTCCAGAAATCGAACCCACAACCTATTAGTGTATAGAACAATGCTCCAACCAGCTGAGCCACCAGGCCAAGGCTAACATAATGTTTTAAAGCTTCATCCATGTTATAACATATATCAGTACTTCAGACCTTTTTATAGTTGAATAATACTTCATTGTATGGATGTATCATATCTTGTTTAGTTCTTCATCCATTGATGAACATTTGGGTCTTATCTACATATTGGTTATTATAAATAGTGCTGATATGAACATTCATGTATAAGTGTTTATTTGAACACCTTTTTTCAATTCTTTTGGGTATATACCTGGGAGTGGTATTGCTGGGTCATATGGTAATTCTGTGTTTAACTTTTTGAGGAACCATCAAACTGTTTTCCCTAGCAGCTCCAGCCCTTACATTCCCACAGTTATGTATGAGGGTTCCAATATCTCCACGTGCTGGCCAACGCTTGTTATTTTTTCCTTTTTCTTTATTTTTTTAAAAAGTCATTCTATTGGGTGGGAAGTGATATCTCATTGTGGTTTTGATTTGCATTTCCCTACTGACTAGTAATGTTAAGTGTCTTTTCATGTATTTATTGACCATTTGTATATCTTCTTTAGGGAAATGTCTATTCAAGTTCTTTGCCCATTTTTAATTGGGTGGGTTTTTGTTTGTTTGTTTGTTTTTTGTCTTTTTGCTGCTGTTGAGTTTTAAGAGTTTTTTTATATATTCTGGATACCAGACCCTTACCAGCTATGTGATTTGCAAATATTTCCTCCTACTCTATGAGTTGTCTTTTAACTCTATCAAGAGAATGCAATTGTTCAAAATTTTAAACATTTTGATGAAGTTCAATTTATTGATTTTTTTTCTTTTGGTACTTAGCTTTTCGTGTCATACAGTTTACATTGTACAAGTCTTGTACCTCTTTGGATAAATTTATCTCTAAGCATTTTATTCTTTTTTAAAATTTTATTTGTTTTTTAGAGAGAGGGGAAGGGAGGGATAAAGAGAGGTAGAGAAACATCAATGTGTGAGAGAAATATGGATTGGTTTTGCCTCTTACATGCCCACAACCAGGGTCCTGGCCCGCAACCCAGTTATGTGCCCTAATCAGGAACTGATCTGGCAGCCAGGGCAGCATTTTATTATTTCTGATGCTATTGTAAAAAGAAGTGTTTTCTTAACTATGTTTTTGGATTGTTCATTTCCCGTGTATAGAAATACAACTGATTTTTGTATGTTCATGTTGTATCTTTTAACTTTGTTTAATTAATTTATTAGCTCTAATAAATTTATGGGGATTCTTTAGAATTTTCTTTTATATTTGTTAATCTTTTAATTTCTTTTATTCATATTATGTCTTTTTTATTGACTTTTCTATACAAATTCACTTGGTATTTTCTTCTGTTTTCATGTGTATGCAAAATCTATCTGGAAATTTTTCCCCCCAAACACTGTAATTTTCAATTCCGGTAATTTCTATGTGGTTCCTTTTTTTAATAGTTTCCATTTCTCTTTTAAATCCTCCATCTGATCATTCTTTATGACTACAGCTATATATATATTATACACATAATTTTCTGTATATAAAATAATGTCATTTGTAAATAGATAGTTTTACTTCTTCTTTCCCAATTTATATACATTTTGTTTCCTTTCCTGATTAATTACTCTGACTAGAGGTTCCAGTAGAATGTCAAATAAAAGTGGCAAAAGCAGACACCCTTATCCTGTTCCTGATCTTAGGGGGAAAGCTTTCAGTTTTTCACCATTATGTATGATGTTAGCTGTGGGTTGTTCACATGTGTATTCTATCCTTAGTTTGCTAGGTGTTTTTATTTTTAGCATGAAGGGCTTTTGGATTTTATCAAATGGTTTTTTCTACTTCAATTGGGATGCTGTTATCGTTTTCCTTCGTTCTATCAATAAGTACATTACACTAAGTGATTTCATATGTTGAATCTTCTTGCAATCCTGAGAGAAATCCCAATTGATCATGATGTATAATTGCCTTAATATGCTGTTGGATTTTGTTTTCTTGTATTTTTTGCATGTGTATTCATGAGGGATATAGGTCTATAGTGTTCTTTTCCTGTGATGCCTTTATTGTGCTTTAGAATCATGGTAATGCTGGCCCCGTAGAATCTGGAAGTATTCCCTTTTCCATTTTTTTTTAAATTTGTGAAAGGTTGGTGTTAATTCTTCTTTAGAAGCTTGGCAGAATTCACAGTGAATCCATCTGGTTCTGGTCTTTCCTTTGTTGGAAGGTTTTGATTACTGATCCCATATCTTTACTTGTTAGAGGCCTATTCAGATTTTCTGTTTCTTTTTGAGTCAATTTTGGTAGTTTGTATGTGTTTAGGGATTTATTCATTTCATATAGGTTATGTGGTTTGTTGATATATATTGTAATTATTCATAGTATTGTCTTATAATCCTTTTTATTTCTCTAAGGTCAGTGTAAATTATGCACTTTCACTTCTTATTTTATTGAGTTGTATCTTTTCTCTTTTTTCTTAGTTAATCTGGGGGAAGATTAGCCAATTTTGTTTTACTTTTCAAAGGACCAACTATGATTTCATTAATTTTCTATAGTGTTTTTTCTATTCCCTGTTTCATTACTTCTGTTTGAATCTTTTTTAAAAAGATTTTATTTATTTATTTTTAGAGAGGGGAAGAGAGGGAGAAAGAGATGGAGAGAAACACAATGTGTGGTTGCCCCTCGAGCGCCCCCCACTGGGGACCAGGCCCGCAACCCAAGCATGTGCCCTGACTGGGAATCAAACCAGCAACCCCCTGTTCACAGGCCGGTGCTCAACTGAGCCATGCCAGCCAGGGCTATATCTGTTTTAATCTTAATTATTTTCTTCCTTTTGCTAGCTTTAACATTGGGTTTAGTTTTTTTCTTCTCTTTCTAGTTTCTTAAAGTGGAGAGTTAGGTTATTGATTTGAGGTCTTTCCTCTTTTTTAACATAGGCACGCACAGCTATAAATTTCTGAGGATTGCTTTTGGTGTATGACGTAAGGTTTGATATTATGTTTTAGTTTTCATTCATGTCAAAGAATTTTTTAACTTTTGATTTCTTCTTTAACCTATTGGTTGCTTAATGGTATGTTGTTTAATTTCCATCTACTTGTAAATTTTCCAGTTTTTCTTCTGTTACTGATTTTTAGTTTCATTACACTGTGGTCAGAGAAGATACTTTGTATGATTTCAATCTTTTAAATTTTATCAAGACTTATTTTGTAGCTTAATATATGGTCTATCCAGTAGAATATTCCATGTGTACTCCAGAAGAATATGTATTATGTTCTTGCTGGATGGAATGCACTGTATCTAATTTTTAGGTTCACTTGGTTTATAGTATTGTTTCAAGTCCTCTATTTCTTTATTGATCTTCTGTCTAGTTTATTCATTATTTTTAAAACATTTTTATTTATTGGTTTTTTTTTTCAGAGAGAGAGAGGAAGGGAGAGAGACAAAAACACTGATTTGTTGTTCTACTTATTGGTTCATTCATTGGCTCATTCTTGTATGTGTCCTGACCAGGGATGGAACCCACAACCTTGGCATATTGGGATGATACTCTAACCAACTGAGCTACCTTGCCAGGGCCTATTTATTTGTTGTTGAAAGTGGGATACTGAAGTCCCTAACTATTAATTATAGAACTGTCTGTCTTTCCCTTCAGTTCTGTCAACTTTTGCTTCATGTATTTGGTGGTGGGTCTCTTGTTTGGTATTTATATGTTTATGATTTTTTTATCTTTATGATGTATTGGCCCTTTTTATCAATGTATAGTGTCCATCTTTGTCTTTTATAACAATTTTAAATTAAATTCTATTTTATTTATCATTAGTACTGCCACCTCGGCTCTCCTTTGGTTATTATTTGCTTAGAATATCTTTTATCATCCTTTCACTTTCAACCTATTTATATCTGGATCCAAAGTGAATCTCTTATAGACAACATATAAATAGATCATGTTTTAAAAATCCATCCTGTCAAATTCTGCCTTTTGGTTGGAGAGTTTAATTTATTTACATTCATAGTAATTACTAATAATAAAAGACTTGCCTGCCATTTTGTTCTTTTCTCTATATATCTTATATTTTTTGTTATTTTATTCCTTCATTACTAACTTCTTTTGGATTTAATTGATTTCCTTTTAGCATATGATTTTCATTCCCTTCTCCATATATTTTAAAATTATGTTCTTACTGGTTACCTTGGGAATTACAATTAAGAAAATTCGATAACATTTTAAAACATATAGTCTTCTATTAATTTGAATAAGCTAAATATGTATTTTATAAGTTAATGAATAGAGTTAAATTATTTATAGTCAACATTTCCAAGCATCAGTCTAAACATTCATCCTGCTTCAATGTAATAAATTCTCTATTAAAAAATTCAAGAACTGAGTCAGGTTTCTACAGTTGGGCTGGCTGGCAAAGTGTTTAGCCTTCAGTGATACAGTCAAACTACCCCCAGGCATGAGAGTTTCTTAACTATTCCCACCATTCTTCCTGGTTTATTAGTTTAGTATGGTGAACACAAGGGTGGAGGGGTAGGTGGCAGCAACAGCAGCATTAGCATCCCCAAAAGTAGCTGGAATTGTTGTAGTCACCAGCCTAACCAGGTGAGCTGGCCTGGATGCTCCTCTGAGCTCCTCATAAATTATGACCCCCCCAACACTTGTATTCTATCAAAGCCTTCCCACAAATCCAGCTACCACTGCCTTCTCACTGAACATCAACTAGTGAGTTAAGGTGAAAACAAAATCATCCAAATAGAAAGTCAGACTAAAAGGTGATTAAGTTTTACCCTCTCAGAGGAGTCTTTCCAGGTTTGCTGTCATACTTTTTATTCTCTGAGCTGCTGTCTCCTACTGGTGACAGTAAGAAACACACCTTATCTCTCAGGGACTCTAGCCTTTGTATCCTAAGCTTACTTTCTCTCCCAAGTGCCCCCAAGTGCCCTGGGGAAGAGTAGAAGGACTACTTAAGCCCTTGCTGTCTCAGCCTATTTATTTCACATGTCCTTGGGTGAAGAGTTGGATGCTCTGACCATTTCAGTTCTAGTTAGCAAAGTTTATTGTTTTTTCCCTGAATTATCTTCCTTTTTGGGTAGAGGTGAGATGGGCAGTGAGGATGAACAACTATTTCTTTTTTAGTGTACTTTTAAAATTATATTTTATCATTTATGCTACTATAGTTATCCCAGTTTTTCCTTCTTTGTTCCCCTCCACCCACCTCACCCCCTCCCTCAGGTAATCCCCACATTGTTGTACAAGTCCATGGGCCATGCATATACATTCTTTGGCTACTTTATTCTCTATGTTATACTTTACATCCACATGTAACTACGTATTTGTACTTCTTAATCCCTTCATATTTTTTGCTCCATCCCCCTCCCATCTGACAACCATCAAAACGTTCTCTGTATCTATGATTCTGCTTCTGTTCTGCTTGTTTGTTTATTTTGTATTTTAGAATCAATTCTTGATAGATATGTATTTGTTAGCATTTTATTGTTCATATTTTTTATCTTCTTCTTAAAGAAGACCCATTAACATTTCATATAATACTGGTTTGGTGGTGATGAACTCCTTTAGCTTTTTCTTGTCTGGGAAGCTCCTTATCTGTACTTTTATTCTAAATGATATCTTTGCTGGGTAGAGTAATCTAAGTTGTAGGTCCTTGCTTTTCATCACTTTGAATATTTCTTGCCAATCCCTTCTAGCCTGCAAAGTTTTGTTTTGTTTTTTTTTTTGTTTTTGTTCTTGTTTTTTGAGAAATCAGCAGACAGACTTATGGGTGCTCCCTTGTAGGTAACTAACTGCTTTTCTCTTGTTGCTTTTAAGATTTTCTCTTTATCTTTAACCTTTGGCATTTTAATTATAATGTGTCTTGGAGTGGGTCTTTTCACATCCATCTTGTTTGGGATTCTCTGTGTTTCCTGTATTTATAAGTCTATTTCCTTCACCAAGTTAGGGAAGTTTTCTTTCATTTTTTTTTTCAAATAGGTTCACAGTTTCTTGCTCTCTCTTCTCCCTTCAGCATCCTCGTGATGGAAATGTTGAACCTCTTGAAGTTGTCCCAGAGACCCCTTTCACTGTCCTCATTTTTTTGGATTATTTTTTCTTCTTGTTTTCATTGGTTGTTTTTTTTTCTTCTTGTTTTCATTGGTTGTTTTTTGGTTTTTTATATTCCAAATTGGTAATTTGATTCTTGACTTCATCCACGCTACAGCTCATTCCCTGTAAATTGTTTTTTTTTATTTCAATTAGTGTATCCTTTGTTTCTGTCTGGACCTTTTTTATGCTGCTGAGGTCCTCGCTAAGTTCCTTGAGCATCCTTATAACCAGTGTTTTGAACTCTGCATCTAGTATATTGCTTATCTCCATTTTGTTTCGTTCTTTTTCTGGAGTTCTGTTATTTCATTCGGGCCATGTTTCCTGTCTTCTAATTTTGGAATCCTCCCTGTGTTTCTGTCGATGTATTAGGTAGAGCTGCTGCATCTCCTGGGCTTGGTAGGGTGGCCTGATGTAGTAGGTGTCCTGTATAGACCAGTGGCAGAGCCTCCCCTAGGACCAAAACTGGGTACTCAAGGTGCATCCACCGTGTGGGCTGTGCACACCATTTTGTTGTTGTTGAGTCTCGATTGGTGTTGGTGTATCCAGGGTCAGCCACTGACTGTTCTGTCCAGGGTCACACAGCATAAACTACAAAGAGATCTGCAGATGGCTACTACTTGTGTGGGACTTGGAGATGCCCAGGTGAGACCAAGCTGTGAACCAAGGCCAGCTGCTGCTAGTGCCAGGCCTAGGGCAACTTAGCAAGATGTACAGGGCTCAATGAAGCCAGATGCTGCTTGTTTGAGAGAATTCAGGAATCTGAAGCATGGGTCAAGACAATCCATTCCTAAGGAACAGCCACTGGAAACAGCTTGGGTGGGCCTGAAAGTTGGGTGGGTCAGGGCCTCAGGGAATCCCCAGAGTGGGGCAGACAGTGTGAGTCAGGTTGATGGAGTCTCAGATATGGCACCCACCTGCAAGTTCTGTGACTCTGTAGGGGCAGAGTTCAGAAAGGAACAATGGCCTCTGCCAACACTTAAAGCTTCCCTCTAGCTCTTGCCCAGATGCCAGACACTTCAGTTTCTCCCTGTATTTCTCTGGTACCTTTCAAGCTGCTACCCCACTGCTGGAGCTCAGAGGGAGTGAGTCTGAGTAAGTTGGTGTGTGGGCATTTTAAGAGGAACTGTTTGGGGCTCCAGAAGTTTCTGTCTCCCACAACCCCAAAGCCCACTGGTTTTTGCAACCAGAAGTTTTGGGGACTTCTCTTCCTGTCACTGGAACCCTGGGCTGGGGGTCCTAGTGTGGGGCTGGGACTCTTTGCTCTCGAGATATCCCTCCTGAATTTTTATCCACCACACATGGGTGTGAGACCAGCCTGTTCTACTTCTGTGCCCCTCCTATCAGTCTGGATGGATGTGGTTTCTTTAATTCCATAGTTGTCATACTTCCATTCAACTTGGTTTCTGATGGTTCTGAGTGATAGCTGTTCTATAGTTTAGTTGTAATTTTGATGTGATTGTGTGAGGAGGCCAGCCATGTTTGCCTATGCTGCCATCTTGACTGAAAGTTTCCTTGGTACTTTTATCACTGTCTAACATTCTGTATATTTTGATTATTTATCTTCTTTATTGTCCATATTCTCCACTACAAGTATAAACTTAATGAAGAATGGTTTTCATCTTTTTTATTTACTACTGTATCCTTAATACCTAGAACTATGCTTGGTCCACAGCAGTTGCGCAATAAACGTTTGTGGAACTGGTGGATTAATTATGTTAAAACTTCTACCAGGCATTGCTTTTCTGAGAAATTGTCAAAGAAAATTCATCTCTGTTCCTCTATCATTTTAGTTATTCTTTCTGAGACCTCAGTAGCTCCAGCTGAAGGTAAATGGAAAAAGTCAAAGAAGCCTGTAGATCTAGAACCCTAAAAGGATACAATATGACTTGCTTTGCATGGAAAGTGACTTATGATGCCTAGGCAGCAAGTAAATGCCCACTTAAAGAAACATTTTCAGTTCATTTGGCATCCCAAACCATCAAGCATTATCCCCATCTGACTGACTATGGCACTCAAGCTCAGGCATGTAATTCAAAATGGCACTAAGAAGACCTCTGTTTTTGGGTGTAGAGTATGTTGTATGGGTATAGAGTATGTATATATTCTATATATTTTACAGCTTCCGTTACACTTACCAGTAAATTTTAAAAAACTATTCAAATAAACTTTCTGGATCCTTAGACTATGTTTGTCAAAGTATGGTCTGAGAACCTCCCAGCATCAGAATCACCCGCAGTGGGCATTGGAAAAGCACATTTAAGTATATATCAAGACCTGTTGAATAAGACTGCCAGGGGACGGGCCTTGCTATAGGCTTCACAGGCTCTCTAAGTGAGTCTTCTGGGGATAGCATTGTGAACCACTGTCTTGTCCTCTGGCATGAAGAGAAAGTCTCCCACTTTCAAACAGAAGCACAGCAAATTCTTAATAATCCCATCAGTTGTCTTAAAACAGAAACCATCAATATATGGATTCCACCTGGGAAGTGGGGATCTCTTGAAGGCCCTACCTTTTCTTCCCTCCGGTGTATTGAGTAGGAGAAACCTAGGAAAGTTACCACAGGAGCCAACCACAGGATTTTATGAGCTACCAGGGAAAAGTAAATCAAACCCCTTCCTGGAAGGTTTTTGAAAGAAAATCGAGGGAAGGAAAGGGGATTCTTTTCTCTACTTTCCCTTCCCCACCCCTCCTGCAACCCATTCCTCCTTCCTTGTATGCTGAGTACCAAGACACCTTCTCTACCCAAAGTCAGATATTTTCATTCCTTCTCCTGTGTCTCAGAGGGAGGTTACCACAGACAGCTTCTGGTTAACAGCTGGAGTTAAATGAGCTCCTTTCACCTCCACATCTGTGAGATATGCCAGGCCTAGTGTCTACTAACATAGAATCTTTCTAGGGAAAGAATTAAGGTTATGCCAGAGGAAGGGATTCTCAGCACTGGTTGATAGGGTGCTGGAAACTCCTTTGTTGTTAGTTGGGGTAAGGTGGCTCTTTGGGGGAAAATAATCCCACATTTTAGTATTTTCATCAAGCATTTTCCTCGAAGAGCCATCACCCTGGGGAAAAACTCACTCTGAAAGTATATTGGAGGTTTGACATTGGGATACTGGGGAGGTGAGTCCTCTGTGAGCCATTCAGCCAAGGGCTCAAAAGGCAGGTAGTCCTTGGGACATCTCCAAAAGGAGCAGCAGCTCTACAGGAACTACAGAATACCCTGAAGCATGAAAAATTTTGAGAACAGTAAAACAAGACCCAGTACTCTGTACACTGAGTATTAAATTCATATTTCCAAGAGGTAACACAAGCCAAGTATATAGTACCAAGATAAGATGTTAGATACATTAGTGGATGACAGTTGCAGAAAGAAATTAGGAAAGATTTGGGGCCACTGCTAGTTTTATTTGATTGCACAAAAAATAACTACCATTCCTCTCCCTTTTCCTAGAATACAAAACAGAGTGTTAAGCTGGCTGTATCATCAGCCTGATATCATTATCACTGTGTTAAGTTCTCAGACATTGGACTCACAGGCTATAAAAGAACCATATTTGGAATGAAGATAGTAGCAAAGATTATCACTGGATCAACATACAATGGTGGTGGGGAAATGTGAAAGGATGTGAAAGCTGCAAATACCAAAGGGGTCTCTGGTTCTGCATGGAGCTAGTTTGGTAAGAAGTAATGAGTAAACATAAATGGAAATTCTGCCCACTTGCTAAATTACATCATTTGCTCCTCGTGTCCAGGAAAGATGGCTTATCACCTAGCCTTCAAAGGCGCTTCTGCTAACACAAATATCTGGAGGTTCTTAGAAATGAGAAGTGCTCTGGGGTGTCTCTTTGAGGTGTGAAAAGTGCTATGTTAGGAATCCCAGAGGAGGTTGTTTTGAAGCCCTACAGAGGAATCCAACTGGGATACTGGGATCAGGTAGTTTGGAAAGGTGGAAGCCAGCCATAATGAGGACAAGTTGACATTCTCCCTCCCTACCCCACTAGAAATGGTAGGAGCACTCAATTCCTCAGGGTTCTCCCATCAGCCTCAAACACATGAACAGTAATATAAGTAAAGGTAGTGTGCTATGTAAACTCAGTTTACAGAAAAGACCTTTTCCAACCTGCTTTTCTTCCCTCTACCAAGCCCTCTGGTGGAGAAATCCCAGAACTCTGATGGGTTTTAAGACACAGATGGTTCTTCTCGCCCCAATCAGCCTCTCCTGTTAATAAAACAAGGGTACAGGACAAGAGAACATGCAAACCCTCTGACCTTGTAAACTCTATTAAATGGTTGGGCTCCTATCCTGAGGGCAAAGGGGGAGCCCCTAAGTGCTTCCTAAGCCAGGGAGCAACCTGAATTTCTTTTTCATGTTTTCACCTGCCAGGGAACAAGCAGAAAGTGTGCACCTTGCCACTAATGAGCTTATTGATGTGAAGTGTCAAGTTGCTGCAGTAAAAAGGGACAATGGTTCATGAAGGATTTCTGCTTTAGGAATTCTTCAGCCAGAAGAGCCTCCAACTTTGGAAACCAGTGATAGCAGAGGGGGTTGACTCATTTATTTTCTGCCATTTTCTCCAGAGTTCCTTTGAGCCCTCATCTGGACCCATTCGCTCTCAGTCCTTGACCACATTTACCATGCCCACCTCTCCCAGCAGCACCCAGCTGCCCACTGGTTTCAGCACCCCAGCCACCACTGAGGACTGTTTGGATTCTTCAGCTGCTCAACACAAGATGGCTATAAACCCCCGAAAACAAAAGAAGAAGAACCCTCAAGCGGCTGTAAGTTCTTCAAGAGGCCTGGGAATAAACTCATCTATAATAAAGGCTGAGTTAGAAGCTTTGCAAACTGCACCTAAGGAAGTGGTATGGTTTGGGGGATTGTAAGTAGGGATGGTAACATCAAGAGCACTGTGCCAGGCTTGACACCCCCAGAGAGGTAAGCAAATGTGCATCTAGTGATTGGGATGTCCTATACACGTGGAACTTACATAAAAGAGACTGAAGAAAGTAGAAATAACCTAAACTCCCAGAAACCATTTATTGTCTTAACATCAGGGAATTCACTCAACCCTCTTTGTAGAGGATATTCAACCATAGCCCAAATCAGTATTCTTTTCATTATTAATCAGCTAATACTCATACATTACAAATTGCAGCACTGTTCCACTCATTTGGGAAAACTCCAAGCATTCAAAGCTCAGCTATTAACACCTCCAAAGATCTCTCAGTATCACACTGACATGACAAATTCCTGTTACATGACTTTCATGACTTTCTAGAGGCAGAGCTACACTTAATGAGCCAATTCTGTTAAAAATATGGCCACAGATCAGACTCGGAGATCTGACAGCAAAGAGAAGTGACAGTTGATAGCAGAGACAGGCCATTTAGTATAGGGATCAAGAACTTTGCCCACCTTTGTAATGCCCTCAAGGCTACACTGTATCATAGTCCACTGTAATAGGTCCTGTTCATTATTTGCCTGAGTCATCCAGAAAAGTTAAACTATGTTCCCTGATCTCTGTTTAGAAAGGTAAGGAAGTAATGCCTCTGGAAATGTTTTTACTAAAAGCTAAGAATTAAAAGATGTTGATGCTGGAAGATTGATTCACTTTGGTCAAACACTTTATTTCTCAGTGACTATGGGCTGTAAGTAAAGGGCTGTAAATCAGAGCTGATAGAGACTAAATGATTTAATAATAGTTATAGTATTTTACAGGGAAGGAAATTAAAGCACAAGTAGCTGGCCAAGGTCAAACACTCTTGTGGTCGTAGAGCAAAGGCCAGAACCCATTCTCCTGACTTCCAACCCAGTACTCTTTCACCCCCACCATGTTGCTCCTCACTTTGACGTCTCAATTTAGCTTTAGAAAAATAACAAACACAAGTTGAAAGAACAGTAGGCTGGGCAGCAGTCCCAGGGGCCCCTCTGGTGGCTGTGGGAGAATTTCCTTGGCTCTGTCTCAAGCAGAAGTTTACCAATTACTATGCACTAAGCCCTATATATGCATTATCATCTGGACACTTCACCACAACCTGGGAGAAAGGAAATGTTGGCTAAGGGAAACTTAGTGTGACCTTTTTGAGTTCCTTCTGCATAGCCTAATTGAGGAAAGGCACTCTCTAAGAAGGCTGGGGATATCTACTTCTTCCATGTGACTCTACCTGACACTTGAATGAGTCTAAAGGGGTCCAGAATCATATATGACACAGAAGCTGCTGCCACTTGCTCCCTGCTTTAGAATTTCTTACGTCTTCAAGTCACACAGGAGGTTTCCCCTTATCCCTAATTTATAAATGTGGACATGGAATTCAGAGAATAATCTGCCCAGGGATCTACAGAGAGTAAATGATGGAGCAAAGATATGAACCCAGGTCTATCTGGCCTGATTTACTCAGAAGTAATTTTCAGTTGAGTCTGTTTGTAGAGACACATCAAATGGGAGCATAGAGTTGTATGTTTGTCTTCAGATTCAAGTCATAAAGGCTTACATTAAGCAAGTTCTGGACACTGTTCAATATGGTGCTACTCGGACATGTCTGAAGCTGCACTGTAATTATCTGAAAACTTTGTTAATTCTAAATCAATTTCAACCCCTTCAGTATAAAGGCTGAACTCTTCATCTTTTCCTCTCTTCCTTCCCAACAAAACCCTAATCTGCTTTCTTCTTTTAAGCTGGAAAGATGTAATTCATGTTCTCACTAAATTCCCTTAAAAAAAACCAAGTAAGATTTCAATTTGGCTCCCAGGTCTGATGAAGCAAATTTCATAATTCAAATGTTACCAAGAATATGATTGTTGTCAGGCCCAACACCCCATTTTCAGATTTATTGCCTTGTGGTGTGTTTTGGTGTTTTAGAGGGTTCCCTTAAGCATATCACTCAGAGATTAGAAACTTAAAATGTAGGTGAACCACTTCCAATAGGTGAAATGATCACCAGGTGATGGATGCCATTGGAAATAATTTTCATTGTTAATGGTATTGTTATGCTTCCAGCAGAACCATTTGGATATCATGGATGTTTTTCCTAATCTTTTTCCTTTGGCAAACATGAAGGGGTGGGTGAGCACTTTATTCTGATTCAAACTCTTTTCCCTCTTTTAGGTGAAGCCAAAGCAGGAGGAGCTGAGCCTTCCATTGGTTTCTGAAGAGAAGAGTAAAACCAAACCAAAAGCAGCTGACCAAAAGAAGCCCAAAAAAGACAGTGCAGGTTGGCACAACTTCACTCTCACCAAGAAGCATGCACTATAAGCTTAATTGCAAATGCTATGTGGTGCGAGCTATATAATGATAATTCCCTAGGCCTGTTGTCCTTGGTCCTCAGAGAGCTTTCAATTTAAGATGCATAATAATGTGATCCAGGTTTCTCCATCTAAATTGTCTAATTAACACAATTGCCTCTTGAGTGGGATTTAGGTAAAGAGTCATAACCGAATCCCTATTTTGTCTAAATGAATTTCTAACCAGAGGTGTTTTGTGTTTGTTTATGCATTGCTTTAATCCTCTCTGAGTCTAATGTACATGCTGAGTTCCTTAGTGAGCCCGGATACCAATGATTTCCACTTTGGCATTCCCCCTCAGCAACAGAACCAGACAATAATAACAGAATTGGCCTAAAACTAGTTTTTTAAAGTTGTTTTTCTCTTCCAGTAGTCAGAAAAGTGAGACCAGTTCTCATACCCATGGGCAAAGAGGGCTGGGGCAACTTCAGACAAATGTCCTTGGCAGCCAACACCTATTGAATCCCCAGTAAGAGTGAAAAATCCCTCTGTATATGTGGATGTTGGCACCAGGTGATAGAAACATGATTTCAAGCAATACTTGATAAAACAAAATTCCAGTTCCACAAATTAAGTCAAACCATTATTTCATATTTTTTCCACAAAGAATTTCACATGTGTGTTCAAAGACAGGATATTCCTAAACAAAATTTCCCATGAAAACTAATAAAACTGTTCTGCAAGAGACAGACAGAGAGGAAGAAAGAAAAAAAAAAGGGATGAGTAATCCATTTTACTTTCTTTTTTTCTCATATTTATTTTTAATAGTTGTCCTTGTTATGCAGAGGATAGAACTGATTTAGTGTCCCTGTGGGCAGATACTGATTGGTTTTCATACAATGGGAATGGTTGGAGTGCATCCAGCTATGCTCAGTGCTGCATGTCAGATATGAAGCCACTAGGTGGAGCTAGGGATACAGGGGAGGGAAGGCAGCAGTGAGAGCCCTCCCACCTGGGCATCAAGCTGAGTTCCTTCCTAAAAGTATAGAGAGAAGAGGAACAATCTAATTAACTGTTGCCTTGTGCTTGACCTGAAGCTGATGGACCAATACAGTTAAGGCTTTCCAAGAGTTTAGTTGCATGTATATCACATCAGCTTATTTTAATACAGGAAAGTAGAAAGCAGAAGAAAAGGGGACCATAATTTTACCTCCCAGATAACCCTTGTTGATACCTTTCTACAAAAGTAAACCAATACCTGCACATGATATGAAAATTAAATAGAATTAAGTAGAAAATCTAAGTACTAATTAGAAACTAAAATTTCCCCTTGCCCTGACCCACTCAGTTTCCTAAAAGATAATCATTGCTGCAAGTACAAAAATTGTCTTTTGATGTGTCTCACCCTAATGGTATGCCGGATATTGATATAATGGTGATAAGTCAACCTTGGAATCAGTTTATAAAATTCGATTTCACTTTGATTTTAAAATTTTCATCTGCAGAAGGCCAATAGTGACCAAGTTGCTCTTTGCCTTCTGAATAGCTACTTCTTCATACTAGGGAATACAATAGCAAATGGGTACCCATTAGGTCAAGTCAAATTGTTCTTATTTTAGGAAGTCAAAAGCACACACATTTTTTCTTTCCTTATTTCTGTTTGGTACAGGTACCTTGAGTCAGGAACCGAGCAACAAACCTGTGATTTCTAAGACAACAGATCAGGCTTCAAAGACAGATGCTTCTGGGAGTCAGGGCTACTCACGGCCAGCAACATATGGAAGACGAAGTGGAAATAAAGAATCAAGTGCTTCAGGAAAGAGTGAGAATAGACACAGAGGAAGGAGCTCTAAACGATCCAGTCGAGGGTTTGGTTTAGGTAATAGAGCTGGGTCCCCATCTGCTGATAAGATTGCCAGGGATAGCCATTTCCAGCAGTTGCCCTTGGAGAAGCAAGTTACAGAGCAGCCCATAGATCCACAAGCAGAAGCCACTGCTCCTCAGGAGTTGCTTTTAGATAAAAATTACATGGAACGGAGAAAGGCCACTTTAGATTTTGAAACCAGAAAAGCATCAGTATTACATCCCAAACCTAAAGACATGAAAGCGTCCATGATTAGGGGTCCATCACAATACCAAGAAGATGGAGCTTCTAGAGCCAAGTCAGAAGCCAGAGCTTCTCTTGTACCAATGGTGGAAAGCCCCTCTACAACCCAAGGAGATGTCATGTTCTCAGTGGCAGGGAAGGCTCAGGTGTATGTGGATCCTTCTCATATCCAGTCAGAAGAGGAAGATGCTTCCCCCTTTGATTCACAAAGTGTTGAATTTAAAATGGAGTCAGCTCAAGATAGCTCAACTACCTGCAAAGAGAAACATCCTGGAAATGTCCTTCAGGCCTTTACAGCAAGCATTTTGGGTACGGCAAGTGATTTGCCAGAGGGAGGCATTTCTGTAGAGAGGCTGCCTCCCAGAAGCCTGTCCCGGTCCTTGAGGAAGCCAGAAGCTGAAGAAGTCTCCTCAGATTCAGACAGTACTTCAGAGATGGAAAGTAGTTCTGAGCAGCAACTGGCTCCTGGATTCTTTGTGCAGTCCTCGGGGGAGCCTGAAGATGATCAAGAAGCCTTCACAGAATCAAGCAGTTTTGTCGGGAAATTGAGCAGTTCTCATAAGCAACTGGCTCCCAGTTGTGCATCCCCAGCTTTGGGGGAGCCTGAAGACAAAGTGCCCATGGAATCAAGTAGTTATTTTGAAAAATACAATACTGCTAAGGATTGGAGCAGCTCTGAGGAAGATCTGCCTCCCAGACACCCTTCCTGGTCCTTGGGGAAGCCAGAAGCTGAAGAAGTCTCTTCAGATTCTGACAGTACTTCAGAGGTGGAAAGTGTTCCTGAGCAGCAGCTGGCTCCTGGATATTTTTTGCAGTCCTTGGGGGAGCCCAAAGATGAAAGACTCTTTTCAGATTCAGAGAGTGCTTCAGAGGAAGGCAATGGTTCTGAACAGCAGCTGGTTCCCAATTATGCTTCCCAGTCCTTGGGGGAGCCCGAAGATGACCAAGAAGCCTTCACAGAATCAAGTAGTTTTGTTGGGAAATTGAGCAGTTCTCATGAGCAGCTGACTCCCAGTTGTGCATCCCATGCTTTGGGGGAGCCTAAAGATGAAGTGTCCACAGAATCAAATAGTTATTTTGAAAAATACAATACTGCTAAGGATTGGAGCAGCTCTGAGGAAGATCTGCCTTCCAGACACCATTCCCTGGCTTTGGGGAAGCCCGAAGACCAAAAGGAAACCTGGGCAGTTTCAAAGACCGCACTTGAGGAGTGGGGTGTTTCTGCAGAGCAGGATCCTCCCAGACACCTTCCTCAGCCCTTAGTGAGGCCATCTGCTCAGCAACAACTCTCCACACATTCAACAAATACTCCTTCAGAATGGGTGCCAATGCCTCCCAGGCACATTTATCAGCCTTGGCTGAAACCTAAACCCAAGCAACAAGCCTCTGCTGGTTCAGAGAGTACTGCTCTTGAGTGGGCCATTTCTATGGAGCCACTGCCTCCCAGAGTGTCTTCAAGGCGCCAGTTGAGGCGTAAAGTTGAGCAACCAGTCTCCTCAGGCCCAGAAATTGCTACTATTGAAGGGATCACTTCTATGGAGCTACCACCCCCAGGAAATCATTCTCAGCCCCTGGCGAAACCAATAGCTGAGCAAGAAATCTCTGCTGGTCCGGAGAGCACAGCTGTTAAGGGGAGAATTTCTATGGAGCCTCTGCCTCCTAAACTGTTTGCCCACCCCTTGGTGAAGCCAAAAGTTGAACAAAATGTGTTCTTAGGTTCAGAGGGTGCTGAGAAGGTCATTTCAGTGGAGCCACCACTCCAGGAACACTGTCCCCAATGCTTGACAAATCCTGGAGCACAGCATATCTTCTCAGAGAACACTACTGGTAATGAAGGCATGTTTGTGGAGGTGTTGCCTCCAAAATGCCCTTGCCAGCCCTTGGTGAGGCTTAAATTCCAGCCACAGACTATCACCTGCGACTCAAGGAGTGCTTCCACAGAATGGAGGAGTCCTGTGGAGGTGATGCCTCCAAGACACACCTTCTACCCCTGCGTGAACACTGGCATTGAACAACCCTCTGCAGGTCCAAAGAGCACTGCTGTGGACTGGGGCATTCCTATGGAGCCACTCCCTCACAGAATGCCTTCTCAGCCCCTGATGAGACAAGTTGCTCAGCAAAAGGTCTTCTCACGTTCATTTAGTGCTCCTGCACAATGGAATAGTCTTAGGGAGCCGATGCCTCCTACATACACTTTCCAGCCCTGGGTGAGCCCTAAATTTGAGCAACAAACGCATGCAGGTCCAGAGAGCATTGTGGCTGAGAGGAGTACTTTGACAGAGCCTCTGATGCCCAGATTGCCTTCTTGGGCTCTGAGAAAACCAATCTCTACAGGTCCAGAGAGTGTTGCCATTGAGAGGAACACTTCTACAGAGTTGCTGCCTCCCAGGCATTGGTCCATTGTTAGACACAAAGTTCAGAAAATGTCACCAAGGTTAGAGAAAGCTGCTGTTGAGAGGGTCATTTCTGGGAGAGCAGAGCCTCCTGAACATCCCATCCACTTCTTAAAGTTTAAAGCCCAGGAAATATCCTCACATCTGGAGAACACTGCTGTTGAAGCAGGCGCTTCTAAGAAATCGCTGCTTTCCAGATGTCCTTCCCAGTCAGTTGTGAAGTATATGGCACAGCATATCTTTTCAGAGAGCCCTGATAAGGAACGGCAGGTTTCTCTGGATCCTCTGGCTTCAAATCAACCTTCCAAATCTTTGCTGATGCCTAAAGTTGGGCATCAAGTTTTCTCAGGTTGGGAGAGTGCTGGTACTGAGGGAGGCATTTCTTCTAAGCTGCTGCCTACAAAATGTCCTTTACAGTCCTTAGGGAAGCCTGAAGATCTGCAAGAAGTTGTCTCATATTCAGAGAGTGCTTTTGTGAAGTGGAGCTGTCCTCAAGAGCAATGGCCTCCCAGATACCTTGCCCAGACATGGGGGAAGCTTGAGCACAAGCAAGAAGTTCCCCCAGTTTCTCAGAGGTCTGTTGAAGAATGGAGGTGTTCTGAAGAGCAGCTGCCTTCAAGATGCCCTTTCCAAGATGAGGGTGGGGCTGAATTCCAGCCACGGATTTTCTCAACAGGCTCAGTGAGTGTACCTGTAGGGTGTAGCAGTGCTGAGCATCACCTGCCTCCCAGACACCCTTTTCAGGCTTTTGCAAACCCTGAATATCAGCAACGAGTTTATTCAAGTTCCATAAGTGCTGCTGCTAAGGGAACCATTTTTGAGAGCAACCCTAGCAGCTGTTCCCTACCAAGAGGTCCAGCTTCTCCAAATGAAACTGGAAAACACAGCCAACGTTCTGAAAATGTCATTAAGAACACCCCAACTTCTGCTACCAAACCGATGAAGTTCACTGTCACTCATGCCTGGCCAATATCCATTTCTGGGGACAATTATCCTAAAGAGGAAGTTCTTGAGAGTAGTGATCGAAATGATGGCTGTTCAAGTTTATCCACCAGTGAGGCTGATGTTGAAAACCTTTTTGGAGTCCGACTGAAGAAGATCCCTTCTTCGCAGAAGTACAAGAGTGAGGAACAAGAGCATTTTACCAAGCTTCCTTCACCCTCCTTGGACCCAACTTCATCTTCTGTAGGTAAAGAACCACAAATCAGAAGTGCTTCCAAGGGATTCCTCCATACCACAGAGAACCTCACCACAATATCTGACTTTGCAGAGAAGCAACAGAGCAAGCCCAAATCTGACAGCATGCCCAAGAAGCAACCTGCTTACAAAATCCGAGGTAAGATTTTATCTTTAGGTACCAAATGGAGCAAAAAACTATAAATCAAAGTCTTTAATAGGAAAAAGTGTGTCCTAGCCTTGCCTGCTGAGTTGTTCCTTTGATAGGGCTGGCTTGTTGATTTAGGGGCAAGACAGTGCCCCAGTCTATCTTTGTTAATGGATTTTCCAATGGACACATGACCATTTTCCCATTCTCTCCCCCACAGTACACCTTACACTTAGATGGAATTTTATGCTTTTCTCAAAAACAGTTTTACATGTATCATTAGGCTTCCCCCAACACCAGGGGATTTTTAAAACCAGCTTGCTAATAGAGCACTATGTGCAGACTCTCAGGTTGAAATCTTCATTTTCTGTGTTTGTTCATCCATAGCTTCTTCACTCACCTGAAATGATTAAGAATCCAGAGCTAGGTGATCTTTTGAGCAATAATATCTCATGAACTCATTGCACCTTCACACTCACTGTCACATTCTTGTATATGCCTATAACCACACCCATGTACCCATACACTTGCATGAGGAACTATGAAGTAACAAATACTGTAAGCATTTCCTTGGAGTTAGAGGAATGACAACAATAGCCTGAGCCTCTGGTCTCCTAGGGATTTTTCCAGCCCATCTGGCAACCATTGTCCTATCATAATTTAGAGATAGAAAGAGGAATGGACAAGTAATGGAAAAGGACCAATAACAGGACACTATGCAAACTTTGAAATATAGCTTCTTATCTACCCAAGGAACTCCTGCCTTGCCAGGTTGTGGGGAGGGCACAAAAGAAGGGGCCCATTCTCTATGTGATATCTATTTATTTTTGTTTGACAATTCACAAGGATCCCATTGGGACATTATTGTGGGTAGGCCCCAGCCAGGCTCAAGATTTTGCCTGCCTTGCTTCAGTTCTAATTCCTTGAATTCCTTTCTCAGGAAAGGCTCCTGGTCAGCAATCAGATTATGCCACCTCAGAGCCAGCTTGGATAACCATGGCAAAGCAGAAGCAGAAGAAGTTCCAGACTAAGGTTCCTATGGAAGAGCTGAAAACCAATAATAGAGGCGGACCAAAGACTGAGACTAACGTGCCTAGATATGAGGTAGGACCTGGAGCAGCCCGCAAGATGCTCCAAAAAGTTGCTGGAAGCAATTGATTAAGCTTGCATTGGGAACTTTGCCAGACATATAGCTCCCTATTTCTTTGGCCGTCTTAAGTGAGGCAGGGAGACACTTCAGGGGAAGACTTGCTTTGTACTCAAACAAATGTGCCCCACTTTGTGTTCTTAAAGGGTGTGTGAAAGTAAAGACTATGAGAAGATTCTGTTAGTCAAATCTTGTGCTAAATATTCTAGAGCAGGATTCCATGAAATTGGCTGAGAAATAAGGAGTAAGTCACAAAAAACCCTTAAGGGTAACCACTGGGGTGAGAGTTGAATAACTATCCTTACAGATATTTTATGCCTATAAGTGTATGTATATATAAACTCTTAATTTAGACCAGTTGCAGAGAAGTTAATTTGAAAAGCTTACACTGTACACTTTTGAAAAGACTTGTAGTTATAGTGTTTTCTAATGTAGGGAGTACAAGTCAGGTGTCAACAAGTTTTGCTAAATAGAAATCCTATGGAACTCCAATTAATGGATAAAATTTCTTTGTAACTTCCACATTCTGTTAGTTTGCTGTTAAGTGCTAGGTAAAAGGTTGTTCTCAAGGTAAATAATTCTCATGTTAACCTATTTACACTATTTGTATGATTAGACAACCTTTTCTTCCAGATCTGAAAAGTGGTGTTGAACCAGCTTGGGTTGTGTGAGCCTAAATTCTGAACCAAGGTCATCTCAGTGCCATTTCTTTCCTTTTCTCTCTATCTCTTTCCTTTTGATTAATGTTGAACTCATAATACCCAGGACAGGGTTTACACCTTGTGATATTCTGAGTAAGTAATTTGCTGTTTTCATGTTAGGACTTACAAGCTTCCTGTTTTCATTGTTGTGTTAAAGGGAGCTGGCTGTGCACATGAAAATCAACCAAGAAAGGTTTTTACTTCTGGTGTCGATAGACAAGAGAATATTGCACCGACAGCACTACCTAAGTCTACCAATGCAGGTAAAAGCACACACCCCAACATCCACCCCCAAATAGCCCTGGCAGAATGCTGTGAGACTTGCAATTTAAAGCTCAGACAAAATGTATTCCCCCAACTCCAAATCAACTTCCTGATTCTCTCCTGGCTCTCCAATCAGATACAGATATTAGCTTGTTTTAGGAAAATCCCATGATCATGACTACTATAAATCCAATGTATAACTTTCAGATTAGCTTCCAGTCTTTTACCCCATCAGGGTAGGTACAATTGTGTAGGTACAAAACCTAAACAAATGATCCTGAGGGTAGTGTGCAAGGGGAAAGAACCAAGCTTACTTTACAGTTCAGAGTGAGGCAGTGTTTTCTTACCTTCCATATTCCCAATGAAACTGCTAAGAATTATCCACTATAAAGGCCCAATGGTACTGAATTGTTTTTTTTAAAGGTTTTATTTATTTTTATTTTTAAAATTTTTTAAAATATATCATCTTTATTATATTTTCCCCTTACCACTTAGTCTTCTTATACTCTCCTCCCCACATCAATCACCACCCGGTTGTCCATGTCCATGAGTCCTTTTTCCTTTTTGCTCAATTCTTCCATCCTCTAATCTACCTCCCCACAACTATCTGTCATCTGTTCTCCATCTGAGTCCGTCTCTGTTTTGCTTGTTAGTTCAGTTTGTTCTTTAGATTCTACATATGAGTGAAATCATATGTTATTTGTCTTTCTCTCACTGGCTTATTTCACTTAGCATAAGGTCCATCCATACTGTTGCAAAGGATAAAATTTTCTTCGTTTTTTACAGCCAAGTAGAATTTCATTGTATAGATGTCCCATAGTTATTCTATCCATTCATCTGTTGATGGACATTTGGGCTAATTTCATATCTTGGTGATTATGAATAACACTGCAATGAACATAGGAATGCTTATGTTCTTTCTAATTAGTGTTTCGAGTTCTGGGATTGCTGGGTTATTTATTTATTTTTAGACAGAGAGGAAAGGAGGGAGAAGGAGAAGAGAAACATGATGTGCAAGAGAAACAGCAATCAGTTGCCTCTCTCACGCCCCTAACCGGGGACCTGGCATATAACCGAGGGATGTGCCCTGACTGGGAATTGAACTGGTAACCTTTTGGTCTGCATGCCAGTGCTCAGTCCACTGAGCTATACCAGCCAGGGCTGAATTGTTTTTTAACTATTTAAAAGACTTGTTTTAGCCCCTCTGTATTGTAAGAAAGGGTGTGAGAGGTGGGGAAATATAGAAAGCTGAAAAAAACATTATGCTGGGATAGAATAGAATGTGATTTCATCAATGGTTATGCCATAGGGATTTTTTTCAACAGGAGCAGGGAGCAAGGAGGATGGATTTATAATGAATCATCTTTGCCCTTTCCCTTAGTCCCCCTAATGAAGAAATTAAGCCATGAAATAGTGGCACCTGACCTGCTCATAGCTATTGATAGTCTCATGGGCACTATACTTCTGTCAAGTGGTTCTCAACTCACTATGCATTAGAATCACCTGGTGAGCTTTCAAAAACTTACAGGTAGTCCTGGGTCGTCCATTGCTAGAAATTCTGATTCAGTTTGTTTAGGAGATGGCTTGGGACTTGGTATTTTAAAAAAGAGCTCTAGGTAATTCTAATGTGTAGCCATGGTTGAGAACCACTGGTTGAGTCTAAGCTACTAAGTCAATCAACCATAAAACAGGAAGAAGGAAGGAGTAGAATTGGGGAGTAGAGAGGTAGTCTGCTTGGGCAGAGTAGTTGGTACAGTGTTATTTAGCATAGACTTTTACTGGATGGAGCTATTTTGTTAGCATTCATGTCACACAGCATCATGGATTACCAAAACAAAAGTAATATTACCTTATTTGAAATTTAAAATACTGAACAGATACCATAAAATATGATTTCTTTCTGGTCTCAATTCAAAAGTATAAGACAATCCAATAATAACCATGCAAATACTGGCAGATACAGCTGTAAACATTTTCTCTCAGACCTTCTCTTGTCCAGGTCTCTGTGTCTATAGCCATATTGATTTCACCCCTTTGCCATACTACTCATAGCACTGCCCATGCACTGAGTTTAGAAACCAGAATAAACATGAAAGAAGGAAAATTTTTATTGCATCCCATAAACATAGTTCAGTACCTCTGGGGCTTCTTCCACCCACCCTACCCCCCATTCTGGGGCTCCTTACTCTTTGTGTGTTATTTGCTGTGGTTCCAATAGGATCTGAAAATCCAAAGATATTTCAAGTGCCTGCCATGAGAAAAGAAACCAGACAATCTTCAGCTCACCCAGCCATGTTCCAAGAGCCAACTGAGCCAGTGTGGTTCTCCATGGCCAAGGAGAAAGCCAAAGCATGGAGCTATATAACAGAAATCATGCAGTAAAGAGCTCCTAGATGGAGCATCAGCATTTCAACTGATATTTGCTAAGAGCTGTACTAATGCCATGTGCTGATTTATTTACTGTAACCATTTCTAATAAGCAAAAAAGCCTTAAAATGGGAATTACAGCTAATCATTATGTGAGTGAAACAAATGCCATGAATGCCTAATGTTCAGTATAGTCACTGCCAGCATCTGAAAACCCAGCATTTCCTCTATAAAAACTATGTAAAGTGTTTGCAGTGCTGTAGAATTGGGAAATCTTTAACTTGGGACAATGTGTTTTAGAAGAGCAAAAGCAAAGACATTTTGTTGGAGCCACTAAGAAAAGGGTCATTTCCCTTGATCAAATAAATTAATTCTAGTGGAAATGTCCAGATGATTTGGCCCAAGGATTGGCTTTTAGGTTTATGAGCCTAGTTAAATGCTCCAGGGTTTTTGTTTTTTTGGTTTTTTTGTTCGTTCGTTTTTGGTTGCTGCACCAAGCTTTGCAAAGGCCCCTGGAAGAGGTGGTGGAAGTGAAAATTCTGGGTCTTCAAGAAAAATCTTATACAGCCAGTCCCTTAGTGAGCTCAGTGCCCTTTGAAACACCTTCTTTGAATGCTTGGGAACTCCACATGCCTGCAATTTATATAGAGCTCTCTCTTTACACACTGCCCATGTCAGCCTGTCACAGATCTGGCAGCAGTGAGTGCTTTTCTATGAGGCAGAATATTTCTTGGGGTTTATTATGCTTCTCTGGATGTTTAGTTCACCAGTCTTTGACTGCTTGCCCCAACACCTCCGTGACCCTCTCCAGTTGCTCAGAAGGAGTCGGGATATCATACATATCCTATTTTATAAGCACTGAAGACCCTGTTGAAATTCAAAATTCTATAGATGCTGAAAGCTATACTTTCAGTCAAGAAGTCTTCCATGAAGGAAGTCTGAGGCCACTGAAGAGCCGCCTTACCCCCTGGCTCCAGACTTAGGATAGAGACTGCTGTGTGGCCCAGTTTCCTGTCCCTTTTCTTCAGAAAGCTCTGTTTCACAACATTTTAGTTGATAGGAAAACTGCCATAGAACAGTTCACTTTCTGGTAACTGGGGGCCTTAAGTGATTAAATCAGCCACTCCCTGCCCTCATTCCTAAAGGCATACACCTAAAAAGCCACTAAATTCAAAGGTCCTTACCTCCCCAGTGAACTACTCATCCCAAGTCCTCCCCTCTATTTCAACCCCCAAATAAACCAAACAGTAGGGTAAAGCTACCTTTGGATGCCTGGACAGCACCTAGTTCATTTTCTTAGTAGACACAAAAGTGTCTTCTCAGTAATAGCTTTTACTGTGTCTGCCTCTGCCACCTTAGGTTTACTTTGCTTAAACAAAAATGCAGGGATAGACGTAACTGTGCCTTGAAGTTCTGAGTGGAGTGTTGCTTCATGCAAAAAAAAAAAAAATCAAATAGGCAGTGAGGTGCTAGAGCTAATTTAAACACTTGTTTGGTTTTGCTGATTGTATAACATAACATTGTATAATCATATGCTGGATTTTGCATTTTGTCTATAAAACGTCTTTTGTTTTGGATACTGTACCTTTGCTTTTTTGATAGTGTTAGGTTTTTGATTGTTTCGATTGATTTCCTTTGTATTTCTATAGTGAATAGTTAATTTAGGTAGAAATTAGTTTATACCTCCCTTCCCCCTTTTCTCTGGGTGGATCACTATTAGACTATTCTCAATCTAAGAACTCTCCATTAACAATTTCTTTTCCTCAGTTAATAACAAAATTTTGTTTTTAAGTAGAGCTTGAGTTTTTTTTTAATGCCTAGAGGCACATTTTGACAAGTTTGCAGCTTTTAGCATTCTTGATTTTGGCTATATGCAAAGCAAATAAACTCAATAAAGCCTGTTCTGTAGTCCGTCTCTGTCTGTTACATGGGGGCGGAAATCAAGTAGAATATTGGCAGTTCAGATGGGAGAAGCAAAATGATCTTAAGAGACTGTGTGTGCATAAACAAGTTGTGCCTGATCAAGAAGATGGCCTCCAGTTGGATGATTGTACAGGGCAGAGTGGTATTAAAGAGGAGGTTCTCATCTGTGTAAACACATGGGGAGCAAAGAGGCTGGTAGGAGAGAGAATTCTGGTGAAGGGGGGAGCACACAAAATGATGGTTGTTATACTCTAGCCTGGCCCAGGGACTGGGTCCAAGTCCTATAGCAATATGGGCTATTGGAACAAGCCATTATCAAAAGGAAAGGGTCTCCCTGTGTTCAGTCAACAAAGTGTAACATGGAGTGAGCAAGGGGAAGGTGTGATAGACCAGATTAACCTGACCCTCCTGTAGCAGTTGTGAAATTTGTGGGGTTCAGAAAAAGTTCAGTTTTATACACATATTTGAAATGTTTTAATCAACTAATAAACCATTAAATAAGGTAAATTGTATCTCCTTCCGTGACAAACATGCCTTCCTAACTACCTGAAAGTTCAGGTTGGGATTTAGAATTATCAGGCTCCTCTAAGTCCTGCTCCAGCAGTGAGGGAAGAACTGCTCCCCTCTCCCCTCCCCCTGCCCTAGCTCCTAGACCAGGCCCTGTCCCCTGTCCCATCCCTCAGGCCTGGGAGCACGGACCCCAGCCGTGCACTCAGCCCTCCCGAGGACAGCCCCAGCAGGAGTGCGCAGGCCCTGGCAGCAGGCCTGGGGACTGTTCAGGGGTGCCAGGTACCTGGAGCATGGGCTAGCAGGGGCTCTCCCCTTGTTCTGTGGGCTGGGCTCCTCCCGACCCTGTAGGGATGGGCATGGTTGGAAGAGAACAACGTGGGGCCTGTAAAGCATGGAGCTCAGGACACAGGTCCCTTTTGCCAGGGTCTAAAAGCAAAACTATAGGATCCACTTATACAATGTAAACACTGACAAATCAGAATCAGTTTGAGGTGCTCAAATCATACAACTTGGCCTGCTCTTTCAGTTCAAATAATGGTGAAAAGGAGCCCTTTGCCTGCTGCCTCGCCATGTGATTCTAGTCCTAAGTAATACTATGTGAAGTACATTTTAAAATGTCAACATTGGTGACCAAAAAAGGAGTGTGGGAGTGTTTAGTTTAGTTTAATAAACGTTATGTACCTACTAAGGAAAGCTCGTTGCCTAGGGATGTGGGAAAGAAAGATAAATAAAACCCTTTAAATTCCCAACCATTCAGAGGGCACTCCAGGGGTTGGTGCTATGGATTAGGGGGGATACACAGACACATACACACATATTGTTAAATAAATATATACAAGGATATGAGATGTGCTACCACAGAACGCTGTGTGAGAGAAGGTATCAGCACTACCGAGGAGGCACCTAGGAAGCTGTAACTAAACGCAGAAAGGAGGCTGTCCTGTCTCAAACCCTGTTCCCTTTCTTTGAGCCTTCACTCAGGTCACCTCTGACTTTCTTATTTTTCCGTGAGCAGATTTCAGAGATTAAGTTCATTCTTTCCCTTTCCTCATTTTATTTTCCTAATTACTTTTTATGACATATTTCAGATCCACACAAAATTACAGCGAACACTACTATAAACATCAATCTACCCACCACCCAGCATAAGAAATATAACATTACAAATACAGTTGAAGCCCACAGTGGAGCCCTCCCCAATAAAACCCCCCTCCCTTTCTTTTCCCAAAAGGTAACCACCGTCCTAATGTGGTTATCTATCCAAGCATGGGATTCTGTATGGTACCTTTGCATACACGTTTTACCCGCATGACTTGTTCTATTTGTATTCGCAATATATGGTGATCACTTTGCATGTTTTTTAGACTTCGTATACATAGTACTGTGTTTGCACCCTTCTGGAAACAGCATTTTCCCCTTATGCATATTTTTGCTTCCATCACCCATTCTTAGCCCCTGTGAGTTCTAGCCTCCTCCCCAGTCCAGCCCTTGCCATCCTGTTCAGTTTATCTGCAACAGCCCCAAGCCAGTGAGTTAAGGCTGGTCCTACTACAGGCGAGTCTCAGCTCCTTCCTCTGTGGCTTTAAACTAGTACCTCTCAAACCTGAGCTGCATCAGAATCCCCTGGAGGGTTTGTTAAAACACAGGTTGCTGGGCCTGCCCTCAGAGTTTCTAATTGAGTACGTCTTGGGTGGAGCCTAAGCATTCCTGGGTGATGATGCTGATGATGCTGTTTTGGGGACCAAACTTAGAGAACCACTGCTCCAAATCAATGTCTGGGCCCAGGATCAGCTGAACCATCTGGCATCCAGGCAAGCTGGGCCATCTATGAGGTTTCCTTTGAAACTGTGCTCTAGAGCCTCTCTAACAGACATATGATGCAAGTCCCAAGAGTAAGTTTGAGTTTTCTAGTACCTACATCAAAAAAGAAACAGGCAAGATTAATTTTAATAGTATATTTTAACTCAATATATTATCATCTGAACAGGTAATCAGTATACAATTTATTAGTGAGACAGGTAACATTTTTTATAGTTACAGGACATATCAAATCAGAATATATTTCAACAGTCTAGTAACTAACATAGTAGAGCAGCTCTAAAGGCTTGATGTCCACTTCTCGCTTTACAAAAATTGTGTTAAAATTGACATTTTAATTTATTTTGGGCTGCCATAAAATAATTTAAAGCAGCCTTACAAAATGGTGGAAAGCGATACCTTTCAAAACAAAGATGTGAGAGATTTGAGTTAGGATTATTTATCGAAATAAAACCTGCCTGCATTTCAGTTTATTAATGAAAACAAACATTTTTAACTAAAACAAATGCTGTCAAATACATCTGTAAAAATAAGTTAGATATCATTGGATAGCACTTTTTTGGTGATAAACTTTGGAATGCTATCAGTGCTTAATAAAATGCCTATGGACTTCTTAAAATGAAAAACCTAAAAAGAGTGAACAACGGAGTCTTTCTTCTTTCTCTATCTTCTAGTCTTCCAAACTGCAGGATGAAATGAGAGAAAATTAACAGTTATACAGCATTAACCAGCTCCAATGACTTTCTAAATCTAAGAAAGCAGCC